GAGGAGCAAGTTAATCTCTGCACATCATGGGACTTGTCTTGTGCCGAGGGGAGGGGCGAATGAAGCGGTGGACCGAGTTGGTGTGCAGCTCGCTTCGACGAGGAGGTGGCGAATACCTGGATTATCGAGCCATTAGATAGGGCCTACGGAGCTCGAACGCAGCACGGCAAAAGACCCCTGCAAGGAGGGCATTTAGAGAGATATAAGCTCAGGGGCCTGGGGTATCTAGAAGCCCCGCGGCCATCACGCGAGAATCCTCCCTTTTACTCAGGAGTCGGCGATGCGCTTTGATTAAGCGAGGACCTACACCATCATTAACAGAAACCTCGAGGGTAACTCTATTGACACATATGCCGAGTACTGGTATATTGGTACCGGCATCAAGAACTATGCGGTCCTTGTAGCCACCTCCAGTGTCTTTACTCCTAGGTTTATCATCTGTCTAGGCCAAAGTATCAAACGGTCGAAATAGATCGGCCCTGATGTGGTAAATCGAGTCCATTCGTAGATACCCCTTCCCGTTGGTGACGAGACACCGAGGCGATGCATCATGTTCTTGTTCCGCTTGAGCTCCATCGAACAGACAAGCCCTTCCCACTAGGCTCAAACTCGGAGGTGAGAACTTGCACAATGGAGAACTGACCACTACTGTTAGCGTGGAGAAGGCGGCCCTGGACAGTCTGAGGTGGATGCGGAGTAGAACAATTTAGAAATCAAGGAGAAGGTGACAAATATCAGGTGAATGCCTCGTTGTCAAGAAAACTCAAGGCTGCGCGTAAACAGGAGGCAGGTCGGTGGCGTCGATATAACCTTTCCTTCGGGGGCGCCTGTCACCATCGAGACAAGCTGGAGATTATTGGTGTGCGCGAGAAGGTTTGAGCCACTTTATCACATTTTCTAATGGTGCATAAGCCTTCGATGCTGAGGCTGGCGATAGCTAAATTTTGACCGTGAAACGTTATCAACATAACAAGTTAATGGGTCGACGCCTATTTACAAGTCTATCAGAGTCAGAGCTCGGCCAGTCATAGTTACAGCGTCTGTGTTGAAACATACGGACAGCACACAAATCAAGGCTTCAAGTGATGCGTGCACGAATGCACTATTTGTGTCATAAATGCCGGCCTTAAGCGCTCTTCTCAGCGTCCCCCTCGGCGTGGACAGAGTGATTATGGTCGTAGTCGCATTTATACTAAATCTCTACAGACGATGTCATTGCGGCTGCTAGCTCTGCACCGCCGAGGAAATTTTGGGGCTAGTATCAATACGCTTTCAGCTTGATGATAGCTGCACAAGCATCAGCTCCTTGACGGCGTCTGGCGTAGCATGGCCAGCAGCTTTGTGGTAGTCACTTGTCAGCCATGAGCACTCCGCGACGACAGCTCCCGCCTCTCCCTTCTTTAGAAGGGCCAATCGGATCTTGTAAGCGCATGGCTATCATTGAGGCTTTCTACTACCAAGGCCTTGAAAGGTAGAAAAGTATAAGAAAGTTGCGATGAGCTTCAGGGCTCGAGGAGTCAAGCAAGGAAGGCTCGGCTTCGTACGCCCCCAGTCTCCTTCCTGTGTGTGTCTTGTGGCCCCGATAAGACTTACAAGCCCCGTCTCCTTTTTTCTTGGAGCGCCTTCTTAGAGTATGAGGTGCCTACTTCTGGTCAACAGAGAAAGTATGAAGAAAGATGTGGAGAAGAGTGACGTTCTTGCGCCCTGGCTGCTCTTTCTTGGCGTACCACACGAGTCCTTCTCTTTATCGAGCAACGCTCAGAGAGATAGGGCGTCTCGCTAGACTCGAGACGCCGGGTCGCCGAAGAAGCATAGGCCAAGGACCGCAGGGGAGATAATGCGCACAAAGGACGTGAAAGAGAGAAGAGGGCACTAGGAGATCAATGAGATAAAACAAGGATACCAAGAGGCCCAAAAATGTACAGAGGGAGGGGAGGGGCATGAGGGTGACGTCTAGTGTGAAGAAAATGCCAAGATCCAAGTGATGATTGACAAAAGCTTGGTCGCGTTAAGCTCAACTGCGGGCTGTTCGGCGAGGAAGAGAGCCGTGAACACGCGCCGGGGTATTATGGGGTTGTGCTAGAAGACTCATATTGGTTGGAACTACTGTCAGGGTTCGCTCCCAGTGAGTAGGAAAGGCTTGGGTAGGAAGAGTGCTTGTTCCCCGACGGGATAGGAACCGGGCTGTTCCAGAAGTATTCCAACTTCGGAATATCTGTCGTGTGAAGGGCAATGGATACGAGTGGGCGGAGGTGGAAAGAAGAACTAGGGCTGAGATGGAGACAGAGCGATATGGGCAATAGATAGAAAGAGAGACAGGTATTGAGACCCATAGGGGGAAATGTGAGCGAAGACATACTACATCTCGAGATATTACTAGTTTCGTCACTGAAAAGCTCTTGAGTTCCTACCCAATGCGTCAGTCTCGAAAATTTTGGGTTAGCGAGCAACGCGGGTTGACGGTTCTACGTGATGGGCCCTGGTATCAAGAGGCTCTCGGCAAGGATCTTGGGGTCCTGGAGTGAGTGAATCACGAGACACACGAGGGTCCGTAAAGGGTGGGCGAAATCGATACTCCGGTGAGGCGCCCGCTAGAGCCAGGCGTCTCAGCAGGGCCCCTCGTCTCGCGCCTTTCCCCTATCTCGGGGAGTCGGTAGGCAGAGAGCTAAGGAGCCGGAGGAGATAGAGGTCTGTTTTGCACGACTTGTGCGAGGAAAGAACGTGATGTTAAGTCGATCCGCCGGATCATACGGTAGCCCGAGGGGCAAAGTCGCGGACGGAGGGCCAGGGATGGGCGCCCACGAGTTGTCTTAGAATGGGCTTGAGAGTTTGCTGTGCCGACGGGGAGTCTCGAAGGACGTCTCAGATCGGTTTACGTAGGTGCCACTTCTCCTCGCCTCTCCCACTCTTCCCTATGCCCCTCTGTGCCTTTCTCTCTCCCTCTCGTTCTTGCGCACACATAACACACACGCACACCGCAGAGGCGCGCCCTAGGCGTATGTGCCTCATTTCCCGCCTCACAGAGCTCGGCTCTGCTATATGCCCAACATTTCATTGTTTGGTTCGCTATTCTTCCTTGCACATGTGGAGGGATCGAAAAAGGACATATTGACTAGGGACTAAAAAGAGCCGGGCCAGCCTTAGGGCGCCTTGGCTGGCGTAGACTTTAAAAACAACGTTAGTAAACTAGATAGCCAAACCCGAGGAGGGTTCAAGGTGCCCTGAATCTTAGCTGTTTAGCGCCATCTATCGAGCCTTGGAGCATGCTCTAAGGATAGCTAGGGTGCAAAAGTTGCATTTGGAGCCGGCACTTCAGTGGTTGCGATGGAAACTGGGGTTCGCGATGATGCCCCTCTCCGTCGGATAGGTAGCTTTCCCCTCGCGGGTGGGGATATGGTACGCTTCGAACTGGTTTCACTCTGAAGTCAGGTACGGGATGGTAGGGGAGCATCAGTGACCCAGATGCGCTCTCTTTTCTATGTGAGATCAGAGACAAACGCGGATGGTGTCAGGAAATGATGCAGGGTAACTGCCGTTGCTTTTCGTCACGAACTGTTTGCTGCTTCTTTCTTTCTTCTCGTGCTTCTATTCCCATTGTTTTTTTTTTCCCACGCGAGCGTAGTATATGGGGAGTTGCATCTGCGCCACTTATGCAACAGCTCAAGTTAATTCAATGCCAATTCGCTTAGTGAATCGAACGTTGGCTGCTCCTTCCTACTTCTCAAAGTGGTCACTTCAGTTGCTTTTTCACTGGGTCACGTTTATTTTCGCGTCGGGTTTGGTGGAGCGTGCACGTAAGAGCCAGCAGGGCAGAGTCATTGCGATTACTATGTGGTCCGAGTCTTTGGTCAAGCTGGCTCCGGTCCTTAACCCTCAAAGCCGTTAGGCGTTTTTCGTTGGATGCATCAAAGGCCCTCGCTTGAAATTCCGCCCTCTAAGCCTCTAACCGTCCGGCACTGCAGCCAATAGTGGCCATCAACGCCGTCGTTGCTGTGAACACCTGGAGAGCTGTGTGCGTGTTCAGGCACGTCTTAAGACATTGCAATGAGTCTTGAATCATCGACCGATGCGAACGAAAGCGACGACTTTCTCTGGGACTCTGAGAATTGGGGCAGTACGAGCTAAGCTGGCCCTACCGTCTTCTCCCGTCCCATTCGCGTATTGCTGCAGGGACGGACGGAAAATTACGCTTGTGTTTGGGATCCCCTAGGGATATTACGTTCTTTGTCTTTTAGTAAGACTGGGCTTGAAGTCCCTCCAGCGGACTGGAGACTTACGGGATCCGGAAAGGCGTGAGACAGTCACTACAATTGCGCTTTAGTAACGATTTCAGTCCACGCACCGGGCGCCCTAGCTGCGATGTGCACGGACAGATCCAAAAGAATGAGCCTGGATACAGGGACGGGGAGCTTCGGACCTTCCCCCTCCATCAGCCCGAACCCGTGCTCATGGCTGATAGTTTCCGGTGCCGTTCATCCTCGGCGGTCGAGGGACAACCCTCGATGCCCGAGAAACAGCTGTCACGATTGTTTACGCTCTCTCTCACCTAGGGCACCTGAGACAGAGACCCAACTAATCGGATCACGGACTTAGACGAAGAACAGAAGAAAAAGAAATGGACTCCTCTCCGATCCAAATCATATTTAAAGACCTGAGCCCACGCTCTCCTTTGTGTCGATCTTGGTCCAGAAGAATAACAAGCACTCTCTCGCTACAGTCCTGTTTCTCTTTCCTTCTTTTTCTTTTTCCATCCCCCTTTTGTTTTTTTTCCCCCAGGTCTTCTTCGTTATTCCCTACTATTTCTTTACTAATCCAGCTCTGTCGAAGCCTTAAGTTGAGACTCTGCTATCAACGTGGTTCACTTGGTCATTTCACGGCTGTCTTAGCCTCTCCTTTCCTTGGACCTATACTAATATCCCCTCAACCCACTCAATTCTTTTTGTGTTTGATTTTTCCCTCTCTCTGCACTTACTTCTCTTGAGAGGCTTGCACCATCGTTCATGAAGATGATGCTCAGGTCACTCACCCTTCTTGTGGCCGGCGCTGCGAGTGCCTTGGCCGGCTTCGGCGCCAAGGCCTCGGGCCGGGGCGGCGGCGTGGTTACCGAGACGTGGAATATCGAATGGTTAGACGCGGCGCCTGACGGCACGGCCCGCCCGGTCATAGGTCAGTCTTTCGTTTTTCCTCTTTTCCAAAGAACTGATCACGCCGATTCCTGATTTCAATCCCAATTTTGCGCGACCATTAGTCTATACCATTATTTCTAAGACGGTCTACTGACGTTGTCTCCTCCGTGTATAGGCATCAACGGCCAATGGCCGTGCCCTCCCTTGAACGTTAATATTGGCGACAAGGTTGTGATCCACGTCAACAACAACCTCGGGAACCAGACTACCGACATCCACTGGCACGGTCTCTTCCACGAAGGTAGCCCCCACATGGACGGGGCCACCCAGGTATCCCAGTGCGCTATTCCCCCTGGTCGCAGCTTCACATACGAGTTCTATGTCAACCAACCCGGCACGTACTGGTACCATGCCCACGTTGGCGCTCAGTATTCGGATGGTCTTCGTGGTCCCATGATTGTCCATGACCCTCAGGATCCCTTTATCGGAAAGTACGATGAAGAGGTTCTCCTCACTCTCTCCGGTAAGAATACAATCGCGGTGTATTGGACGGCGCGGGCTCCTCTCTCCGCGCCTTGCGACCCTTTTGGCCTTGTCATCAGCTCACATCGCTAACAACCCTTGACAAAAGATTGGTACCACAAGGAAAGCCCTGTCCTCCTCAAGCAGCTCTTCGATCAAGCGAATGTACAAAGCCGACCTCCTCTCCCCGAGGCTGGCCTGATCAATGATGGCCAAGGTTCCACCTACAAGTTCGTTGCCGGAAAGAAGTACAAGTTCCGCGTTATCAACCTGTCCGCTCTCACCGACGTGATCCTCAGCATCGATGGCCATCTACTCACCATTGTCGAGGTTGACGGTGTCTACACACAACCTGCCGACGCCGAGCAGATCAACATCACCCCTGGACAGCGATACTCCGTTATTGTCGAAGCCAAGTCTGACGCCGAGTCCAACTACGCCATCAACGCCGTCTTCAACTCCAACCCCAATCTTTTTGCCCCTAACCCCCAGGTCGGCTTCAAGGTCAACGCCACTGGTGCCATCGAGTACAGCGCTGACTTCGGCGTGCCTGCTCCCACTTTTGTGGACAAGTTCAACATCTTTGATGACATGTGGCTCCAGCCCTATGACCTAGAGTCCGTTCTCGGTGAGCCCGACCAGCAATTCGTCATGGGCTTCAATATGGGTCTCGATGGCGAGGGTATTCCTCGGTAAGTTTCATCTGCCTCCTCATGTAAAAATAGTGTCGTACCATGTTGCTAACGACTTATTTCTCCACCCGTTTAGTGCCTTCATCGACGGTGTCAGCTACGTGCACCAGAAGACTCCCACCCTCTACACTGCCCTCACTGTTGGAGAAGACGCTCTAAGCCCCGAGGTCTACGGCCAGATCAACGCCAAAGTTATCAACAGCGGAGAGATCATTGAAATCATTCTCAACAACGAGGGACAGGCCCACCACCCCTTCCACCTCCACGGCCACAACTTCCAGGTTCTCAACCGTGCGGTTGTTGGAAGCGGCGCTTTTAAAGGCTGGGATGAGCCGTTGCCCGAGGCTCCCCTCCGTCGCGACACCATTGATGTTTATGCTGGCGCGTCTGTCCGCATCCGATTCCGCGCCGACAACCCTGGTGTTTGGCTCTTCCACTGCCATCTTGAGTGGCATGTGCCCATGGGTCTCACAGCTACCTTTATCGAGTCGCCTCTTGAACTCCAGAAGTCTCTTTCCAACCTTCCCAAGGCACACCTCGAGCTCTGCCAGGAGCAGTGCTTGCCTGTGTCTGGCAACTGCGCTGGAAACAGGTTTGACCACTTTGACTTGACGGGTGCCATGAGTCCCGAGCACGTCCCCACGGAAGGGTAAGTTTCCTCCGCCCTTCGCTTCCCAGGCCCCTAAGTCATTAGCACTCTGATAAACTAACGTTGTGTTTGCACAATAGGGCTATTTGGACCAACGGTGCATGTGGCACCAATGGCGCCGATGGCACCGATGGCGAGGACGGCGCTGATGGTGCCGATGGTGCCGATGGAGCGGATGGTGCTGATGGAGAGGATGGTGCTTAAATTCGACTCATATACGGCTGGCGTTTTCTTTTTCTTTCCCCCGTAGGCTTGTAGGCGCTTTGTCTTGAAACTCGCCTTCCCTTCTTTTTTCTTCTCTTCTTTCTTTTTCTTCTTCTCTTCTTTCTCTCTTTACATCTCGCCGGCCAAAACACCATGGCTTAGGATTACAACACTACCCTTTTGAAGCTTACCCTACATAAAAAGGGAAACAAAGCATTGTATAATACGAAACAGACAAAATGATTGAAAATATACCTCCTGACTTTGCTTGAAGACTAAACCCATAGGCCCGCGTCCGCCATTCTCTCCCCATTCTATTGCTATTACTGTTACTGCCCTAATTATTGTTCTCATCCTCATCGCCCAGTTCGCTCTTCTTGTTCTTGTTCCACGTATACATGGCCATGAATGAGTAAATATAACAGCATATATCTATGTATACATCAATGATGTATGCACGGTTTATGCACGCTCCTCAGCGTCTATGTAGTGAACCTAACATGGCTTCCTGGCCGGTGCTAAGGGACTGCCGCTCCTGTGGCCACATAGCGGCGCAGAGCTTCGAAGTCTTTGCAGAAAGAGAAAGTTGTGGCCTATGAAGGTTTTGTCTTGGCTGGTCCTATCCGTCAAGAGGTAGCACCTCATGCACGCCGAAAGGGGAGGCATCAAACGGAGGTGCAGGGGAGTAGCAGCATCTAACACCTAGAGGAGCGCCTCTTGCCGAAAGGGAAAAAGATGACAGCTAGTATGAAGCGAGAGATAGTATTTAATTTGCCAATCAGGAGAAATGCCCCGTAAGACAATTAACCTTGGGCTTCTCAACAAGGAGAATTGCTCCTAGAGAGGGATGGGCATGAGTCGCAAGAGGGTACTACGGGAGGGAGACGAGTATAAAGCAAGGACTATAGATATAGTCAACTTGTATTAGGATGTTTTCCGGGGAGGGGATATAGTCTAGAAGAATATAGTAGTCTCTAATACCTCGAGAAAGTAGGTAGACTATGAAGGAAGTAAGACGTAGGTATCGGCGAGGAGAGGAGAGAAGAGTGGGGTTGGGGGTGAGGCGAAGGGTCGAAATTCTGTTTTGAAGGAGCATACTTTCCGACTGCAGCAGCATCAATCTTGGAGACTAAGAGCCATTATACCCGCCCAGCGAAAGGTAAGACCAAACTTATAATCTCTTAAGGAGGGAAGACCCTGATGACGCCAGGCGAACATGGGGATATTGTGCCTGCTAGTCCCACGCGAGTCATAACCACCAGACAGGAGGATAGTCTAAAATCGAGACAAATATAGACATACGATTATATAATTGTTCCTTGCTAATCATCGAGAGAGCATAAGGAACAAGTAAGGTGTATTAAAGGTAGGATTGACATGGGCAAGGAATTAGAGGCAGTGATGCTCAAGATGACTGGGATGTTATCCATCTTCCACTGTGTACGCCGCGATGAATTTTTTTCTTTTTGCGCCGTTTTAGATTTTTCCTTCTGTCCTATTTTTTTTTTTTTTTTTTTCCCTCTTCTCCCCTTCTCTCTTTTGAAGAGAATAGGAGAGAATCTGGAAACAACAAGGTGGTTTCCCATGCTTCGCGTGACGAAGTTGCGAGTTGAGGAGGATTTGAGATTGGCTATGGGGCCTGGAGGGGTCTAGATCTTGAAGGACCGTCGTTTGGGGAAATTCTTCGGAGGGTTTGCTCCTTGGGGTGGGTCTTCGAGGACTGCGAGTCGCACGAGCGGGGCTCACCATCCCTAAGCTCCTGGGGTCAACGCTGCCGCAAGGTGATGATACCTAGAACTGATGTAATTGGGGCTTTCTCCGTCGACATGTACAAGTAGCCAAGGAACCTTCAGCTCTCACCCTGCGTCGAAACAAAGAGGGAAAAAAAACCTTGGAAATTGATAACCCTAGCAGGACCTCAATGAAATATAATTATTATTATTGATCATTATCGGTTGAATTGGTCAGGTTGGGGAACTGGCTTCACATAACCTACCTGGTCTGCGCGCTCAAACTTGGCTTCGAGACTAAGGTACTTGTAGAATGAATGTATGAAGTAGCTGCCGCAGCCTTGTCGCTCAGCTTCCTTGCGTGTATTCTTGGCAAACCGGGGACTTTGCTCCCTCACCAAACGAGCTCTGGACTCGCGAGAAGAAGCGTAGAGGGAGGCTGAAGCACGAGTCGAGGATCAGCCTCAAGGGAAAGGGTGATTCACGCCAGGAAGCCAGCCGTGCCTTTTCCTTTCCTCAGCCTGCCAGGGCACAGTGCCCGTTGCACTTGCAGAAGTACCACGAAGCCTACATGGTGTACACAGTATGCGATGGGAATGAAAGGGAAAAGAAAAAGAAAGAGGAAAGAAAAGCAGCGGAGGAGAGGCAAGAGGGTACCTTGCACATTCTTGCTTGCTCGGAAAGCTCCCGGTAGCGATCACTGTGGCGTGTCGCATTTGGCCCCTTCCACTCTCTAACACTGACATCGACATCGACATAGAAGGCCAGTCGATCAATACTATGTAGGTATTACTGATGGGTCACTGCTGGATTCATTGCTCCGTGTGCCACGAGAGGCCCAATGCGACAAAGGAGAACGGGCCATGGTCTAATACTTTGCGAAAGCCCCATTCGACCCGCACATGGTTCCATTTCAAGTCTCAACGGATAAGGATAATAATAGCCCATGAGAGAATGGGAATGGAAGACCTCTTGACACTTCCTAGGTAAGTGTAACGAAATGGAAAGCTTAAAGATCTATTGATCCACAATCGTTCGGTAGATTGCTCTCTTCGCCCTGCCGCCGGACCGATCGCGTAACATCAGGCCGCCACGGGTTGGCTTACGTCTAACCCTCTAATATTCGTGTATCACTCTCAGCTCTATCTCTTTTCGGTTCTATTATCGAGGTGCTCTCTTGGATGATTGTGTCCTTATAGAGTCTCGTTTCCCTCGATTCTAATCTTGAATCTACCCATCTAACCTTATTCAACCCCTTTCCTCTCTCTAAATTTTAGTTGGGAGTACAGACAAACAAACGCCAAAAAAGAAGAAAAAGAAAAGAACCAAAAGAGGTTAAATTGGACCCTTTTCCTTCTCAATGAGGCGATCTTGAAACCGAGGGCACTTGATGCCCGGCTTCTATGGTGGACGCAGCGGAAAAATTGCTCTCTTCCTTTTTCACGGCTGGTTTCGTCAACTTTTTCGGCGACCACCAGTAGACTGGGTACCGCTTCTGAATGTTATTTACGAGGAGAGCAATAAGAAACATAAAAACAGAGCTTAGGAGGACGAGGGGCACGAATCGCCAGCCAAGCTCGATGGTGCGCTCGTCAACGACGGCGATAAGGGCGGTGGCGCCTGCTGGAGGGTGAACGGTACCGGTAACCGCCATCAGCACCGTCGCTAGCGCGCACGCAAGCGCCCCGCCAACGAAACGAAGACCCATATGGTTGGACGAGAGTGCAAATAGCTTGGAGATGCCTACCCCAAGGACGGATGCGATTATTTGTGAGCATATGACGTTTCTTGGCTGAGCAAAGGGCGACTCGATCGCCTGGAATTCCAAGACCGCAGCGGCACCTAAGAACGGACAAAGGAGGCTCAGCCCCAACGGTTAGCGTGGTCTGATCATTGCTTTATACGGAAGCTGGTTTCAGAGGGAGAGAAACGAGAATCGGGAAAGGAAGAAAAAACGAAGGAATATGAGAGACGTACGAAGCTTGCTACGATTACAGGGGCTCCGTTGTTAAAGAACATCGGAATGTGCTCCGCGACCACGGCAATTAGGATGATGGCACACATGATCCCCACAAACGTCCAAAAAGACCCAGAATCGGGTGTGCGGGTACGTGAGGCTTAGTCCGATGGCCGAGAAAGTGTGATATAGCATAAGGAAGTGCTCGATGCAACCGCGCGGCCCATCCTAGCTCCTCTTCGACGTGTGGATGAGGTTCTGGGTGGCTCGCACGCCTGAAGATGTGGGGGCGTCATCATAATCGTCTCTCTGCCTCTCTTTCTTCTCGTCCTCGCCCGCGTGAAGGTGTGTAGGTGGGTATGAATGTGTATTGACGTGCCTATTGGAGTAGCTCTGGGTTCTGGCTGGCGGTAGGGCGGTGATGGAGCTGGTGGAGGAATTGGTAGTCGGGGTGCGGGATGTGATATCGGGGCGCGTGGGGATCCTCATGTGTGACGGAGCACCTCCTGTCGGAGCGCGGTGCATTGTCGGGAGAACGGGAAGGAGGGGAGGTGGGGCGAAAGTTCGGGCGGGGACGAACGATGTGAGCCGTCAACCCATCATAAATTGCACAACACTGGCAGATCCAACCGGACGGTTTTCTCACAAACTCGAGCGGTTCTCTTGTAGAACGCGTTGCCACAAATAGAGCGAATCGGGCCGGGAGGAGAGGCAATCGGCGGAGGTCCGGAGCAAGGTGGATAATCGTTGAGGCGAGGAAGATAGGAAACGGTCGAGGGCTTGTTTGAATCGAGAGCTTTGGTGTCTATAGTCCTTTGGTGAACTACGGTTGGGGAACGAGGCTTTCACCGGTCCAGCGCCTAGAGGAAGTGGAGAAGAATGGAAGGGTTTTAAGAAGAACCTGAACAACCATCTTGGCATTGGGGGAAGGGTCGATTGACTATGTCGTCTTCGGGAAGGCCCTGCACTCTTCCGAAGCCCGATGTCGTGGTCCTCGGTAAAGAGAGACGACTATGTTTTTCTAACCAAAAGGAAAGAATTGTCAGGTAATGAGAACTGCAAGCTCCACAGCTGAGGCCCTTTTGGTGGTACGAACGAAATCTGGTTCGGCGTGGAAAGGGGAATCCTGAGCTGTTGCGAAATCGACATCTCCGCGGAGCTTCAATCGAGGCGGGTGCCGTTCGGCCGTTGCTAAGCCTTTTTACTCCTCACATCCCCATCCCCGGTCCAGCAACAAACACCACGTAGCCCGGTCGATTGCGTGTACCGTGCCGAGTAGCGCTGCTCTTTTTGCACGTTGAGAAATTCCATAATCGAGGTGAACGAACCCGTCACCGTACCCCGGCCTGGTTGTTTTTGGCCTCGTTCTCTTGCCCGTCCCAAGACGAGCCACCTCGCCGGACTGAGAGACTTGAGATTCATAGAGAGCACAAGCGCCGCTACTGAAGATGTGGGGCTGCCTTCCGCATTTCAAAAACTTTCTTTGTGAACGAAAGCGACTAGTTAGGTAGCTTTTCGTTTTCCATCATTGCGGAAGGACTAGTAGGAGGCATAATTATTTACAGTGGACCTTGCCCGAAGCAGGACCGGACGGCGACGATGAATAATAGACATTCCGAATAACGAGATGCCACGAATATGCCGCCGCTACTGGACCCTCTTATCCTGATGTAATCTTGATCTCTTTTGAGCCCATGGCCCTGATCAATCCCTTGTGCCAGTGATTCTGCTAGTCCAAGCTATGCGGGAGAGGGAGAAAAAAAACAGATCAAACTACCTATTTTAGGGATCCAAACCTACATGTAAGTGTAATTGATCGATAAATTCCATTGGTAATAATCTCAGCCTGGACAACCGTTTGGCTGGTAATACCCCACGGTCCATCATTGCATCAGTCGTGTGGTGGATTCCAACATCACAACTTGGCTGGGTATCCCGCCAGCCCCAACCATAACAAGGTCGGAATCGCGACAACCAGAGCTGACAAGACCCCAGCGCAGATGAGAAGGCATAGTTAAATAGCGAGGATGAAAGAAAAAAACGAAACTACATCTTCGCCAGAGAGCATGACTAGTATTACTTAATGGATTCTCTCACGATGCCACTCCCACCCTGGTGTCTGGTTGACTTGCTTAGGGCCGTCAATGGGGTAACGAGAAATCAGGTGTTGCACCTGGAATGCTACTCTGAAACCCCCATGTAAGGTAAGGTGGGAGACATTGTGTGTTCTTAGAGCTTTCAATCCCTACAGTCACTTGAATCAATCCATCTCATAATAATCAGACACCCAATTTCCTCTTCTCTGCTAGATTGGCCTCACCGACTCTGCAAACTCCGAGAATTTGCCATGTTGGGGAAGAATGACACCATTTATGGGTCGTCACTGCACACATGCAGGGGCTCTGCACCTGGAGAAAGCGGTTTTTGGCCAGGCTTGGTGCCACTCAACCAGTAATAAATGCCGTGGCCATGTGTAGCTGAAGCCCCAAGCCCAGAGGAGCAGAGAAGGAGAATGGGCAAGACTGGTGGTGGGAAGCCAATTCAATCAAGTTCCTCGACTATTATGGCTGTGAGAAGAAAAGGGAGTGCCCTCCAGCTCAACCCCTCGCTTCCACAGATTAATAAGCACGCTTTTTTCAACAGGGTTCTCCTCATCCTAGCGCGATCACCGCAGCTGTGCTTCAATGACTAATCAGGCGGGATGTTGAATCGCATGAGCTCATCTCCTTGAATGGTGATGGTACCACATTTCGAGTGGAGGTCAAATGCCAAAGACTAGTTCCAGAAGGCTCACTGTATTCGATGACGTAACGGCATCAGAACACCCGATTCAGCAAAAATAATTCCGGTGGAGCATGTGCGGCGACACGTCATGATGAACCGGCACCTGTTGGGGGCATGATTGCCATCCCAGCATGCCTGGATACTCAGAGCCCCGCAGACTGCAGCGTTGACCGCATTCCTCCTGATTCCACGGCCGCTTCGATTCTTGATATACGCTTGACTTTCCATTTCTAGTAACCTTTTTGATCAAAAGATCAAGCTTTTAGCCTTGAACGCGCACGTGGAATCTCAACATTCGAGAATTGTGTTGACGCGAATAAGAGAACCTATCAAAGTTAGGACGGAGCATCGAGCTTTTACATCCCACGATCTTCACACACAACAACCGTCTATCATGTCTACTACTCTCATCTTCGGAGGCAGCGGCAAGGTTGCCCGCCATCTCACAAAGCTGCTCTCCGCAGAGCCGGGTGCGACGGTGTACAGCATCATCCGCAACCCCGCCCAGGAGGCCGAACTCAAGGAGCTAGGCGCCAGCCCAATTATCCAGTCCGTCGAAGACGCGCTCGTCACAGAGATCACGGCCACAATCGAGCACACTCAGCCCGATGCCATCGTCTGGTCCGCCGGCGCAGGCGGTGGCAGCGCCGAGCGCACCAAGGCAGTGGATCACGAGGGCGCGGTCAAGGTCTTTGATGCGTTTGCTGCCGCGACTACCGGAAAGCCCAAGCGATTCGTCATGGTGAGCGCTGTGGACGTCAGGGACCGCGAGTCGAAACCTACGCCGGATTGGTATAAACCCGAAGACGTGAAGAGAAGCGAGGCGGCGTGGAAGGCCATCGGAACATATTACAAGGCCAAGTTGGCCGCCGACAAGGACCTTGTCAGTCAGAATGGCAAGCGTGGGCTTGACTATACCATTCTTCGGCCCGGGTCACTTTCGACAGAACTAGGAACCGGCAAAGTCAGGGCTGGAAAGGTGGGGATGCAAGGAGAAATCCCCAGGGAGGACGTGGCGGGCGCTATTCTCGCATGTTTAAGGAACAAGGATACCATTGGCCTCGCATTCGATTTGCTCGGACCGGGTGAAGGAGACTTGACTATCTCCGAAGCCATCGCCAAAGTTGGAAAGAATAAGGAAGACACGTTTGAGGGATATCACTAAGCAAGAGAAAAGGTTCTTGATTTTGCCCCGAAAAAGGGGGCTAAAGGAAACGAAATAGATGGCAAATATCCAAGCAACTAATGAAACAGAAAGGCTATATTCCATTGATCTGTTTTCCAAAGGACCTCTCTGACCACCTTTCCTTGCACAATTTAAGTTCAGCGCCCTGACCGACGAGCCGTACGACGAACGATGATAGCGATGATAGCGATCGATACTCTTAGCCTGGACACGTAGGTACAAGCTCCATGATCGCGACGATAGGGAGTGTCGCGGGTAAGTTTTTCGCGAATAGTTTCGCGTTTTTTTCTATGTATATATATCCGTTGATTTGGATCCTTTTTCTCGTCTCCTTTTTTTTCTTCCCTTCGTGTCTTGATTGGGTTTAATACTTCCTAGGCTTCCGAGTCATCGGGATGTTAGCCGGTCCCGAATGAGAAATTCCGGGGATACCACTATGTGTTTGGCATGGGCTTAACTGGCACTCCGAGATATACTATCTTGAATTGCTCTTAATCTCCACGGCTATTAGATCGACGAAACACTTCGGGCAAGGGGCCCTTCCTTCCACCCAACCATATCGCAAGATGTCAACGTCTCATCGTCGTGACAGCTCAATTTAGCCAGACCAACGTTAGAGCAAAAGGGAACAGGCCGGGCCCATCTTTTGTTTCTCTCCACATTCCATTCCAATCTTCCTGGAATCAAGATTGTTCATTCTCGCCCATCCCTTGTCGCCTTTTCTTTCCTTTGGCCCCCTTCCACTACTTCAGTGACGGTTTTCCTCTTACACGAAGTCGAATTGGAACTGCGTCTATTGATCTTTGTCCGCGACGTGATTCTGTCGGCCTGTCGCTGTTATTTCCACACTCTCTTTGCGTCTTCTAATTCTTCCCTTGGCATCGATGTGGCGAAGACGAGGCCAGGACTCAGACATCACCAGCCCCACCTTGCCTTTCTGGTAAAAAAATACATCAGCTTCCATACAGCACAACACAATGTCAGCTCGTGGGCTGTCCGTTATCTCGCTGGTGCAAGCAGCGCTGCGCTACCAGTGTGCTCCTAGCGTTAGCGGCGCTGGGAACACTGGTTTGGAATGCGATGAGAGTGGCGAATGCGACTCGGTTGGTTCTTGCATTTGTGGCCGTAAGTCTTCTCTACTTGAAGTTTACCTTCACCATAATACGCTTTTGCTTTGTTAAGCGAGGCCGGGCCAAGTTGGTCCTGTCCGACTTAGCACAAAACATAGAAAAAGAGCCAGACATGAGGAAAAGATACGCCAAACTACACCTCGCCTTTGCTAGTATGGATGGCCATGGTGGCCTCTTGTTGACCCTCTTTTTACCTAACTGTTGTCTTTTTCTTTACTTTAGGCATGCTGGGTCGCCGTCTTCGGCATCGTGGAAGGAGTACTAATCTTCTCAACCCGGCATACGACAACCCGGCTGAAGCGGCCGCGTCCATCATGCTTTCCTTTCTTGCACGTCTTCACAATCCTCTTACTGGTAGGCGGGTGCGTGCTTATGGCGTTTACGGACTGGGAGAGGTCCGGACTAGTGAGCGTTAACACAGACATCTCGACACCGGAGAGTGCAGTAGAAGGCGTTGGTTTTGCAGTCCCAATGATCCTACTGGGCGTCATCGGGTAAGTTTGCATCACCAACCCTCTGGTTTCCCGCCCCCAATGCGAAAGATGACGAAAGTGCGAGTGGCTGATAGTTCACGCTAGGGGTTTCACGTCGCTCTGGCTGTTCTAGCGTGTGTTGAGAATAGAGTGAGGAGAAATCAACCGCGACAGAGTTGGGCATAGGAACGCATAAGCCTCTGTTAGAAAGACTCTTAATCATCTTATGCTACCCTCTCCTCTTCTTTGTCTTCTAATCTCTTTACCAACATTTTCTTCTTCTTTTTCTTTCTTCTTCTTTTATCCCCCTTCTCCGGGTCCTCCGAGACCATAGAGCTAGTTACCATAGCGAAGGAGCGGATATTCCCGAGATGGATCATGGATTACATCTCGCTTTCGGCGTACGCCGTGGCAACCTTTCTGTCAAGCGACGTTAAGAACTAAACAACTAACACCCGCTTTCTCCACCATCGAGCTCTAGACTAGTGCGAATCTCTTCTAAGATCCATTGAATTTGGGTGGGGGCTCGGGGAAACAAACAAGAGGAACACACAACTATACGCTCCCTACCAAGGTAGCAGCTAAGCCAGCAATGGCGACGACGGCCTTCAATTAAGACAACATATTAATCGAAACCTTCTCTAATCGCGACCTAGACACTACATGTAAGGGATTATCGTGCTAATGTCAATGCACGCGAGGATATCATTTTTCGAGCGCCCTTAACCCTGACTGGCCTCCGACATAGTCTAGTCTATCCTCGCCTTCCCTTCCTTCTCTCAGAAGAATAAGGGTAAATAAATTCTATCAAATACACAAAAAGGCCATCGCTCTGAGAATTGTGGAGCAAGCGCAACCCGCACCTTAAGTTAATACCATCAGGATGAAGACTACATCTACTCACACGTATCGTTCAGGCCGAAGCCAAGTAAAACTTACAGATGGAGACGCTTGACGAATTATTGCGGATGAAGTCTAGCACCAGGACGTGAATGAATGCGCCGTAACTGTCGGACTGGGGCCATAGCCCCCGTCCACAGCCAAACCATATGGTCCCGTGGAATCCTAGTCTAAGTGAGCCCTCCTATGACCTGCGGTGCCCCCCACCCCACCTATGGCTCGATCTAGTGTCGTCGCGTGCGGGTACTTCCGCAAATGCCAAGAAACAGACAACAGGACAAGCTCCGGCGCGCGAACTCTTGTTCACAGCGATGATGTAGTGTGCGACGCGACCTAGATTGCGCAATGGACTAGTGGGTCCGCAATCCCTCACCATGGTACCGCCGTTTTTGCAAGGCCGTGTATACGAATCTTGTTATGGAGACATCAAAAGGGTGCCGCAAAGGGCTGAATGAGAGCAGCTTTATCGATGTCCACGCTCCCACCAGTCATGGGAGACCCCTATGTGGATATCCTTTCTAGGACCCCGCCCCTTTAACGACAGGTTCCTTCACGCTTGGGGGCTGCATGCCGTTGGCTAGGGGTAGCGACATACGGGCCTTCTAAGCTTGGCCCGTTACGGGTTCCTGGAACTTGAAGCCTGGGATAAGACACCACCCGCGTTCTTAGATCTACCCCACATGGTTTATCCGCGCTAGTGCCGGAGGACCTGCGGTGTGTCTGTGGTGAACCAGCAGGGGAGGGGGTAAGCATGTATGACTGGGGCTTTGCGACGTTTGTTGGCCTGGTGGTGCGCGACTTTACAGAGTGGCAGATTCACGATGTAGATGAGTGTTCTATCTCCAATATGCACCGCTCCACGGATGTGAGGGATTGCTAGGGGCGCGAAAGGATTGGCACTGTGACTTTTGTCCGGCTTCACGCGCGTCGCGAAGCACCTAATGTGGCCTGACGGTGAGGCCGCCGCGCATCGGTTTAGGTCGGACCCGGATTACGGAAAAGGTCGCGCAGCCGGACTCGCGCATGGCCAACGCCTCGCTCAGACAGCAGCGCATAGGCTATGGGCGCCGACAGGAGTCGGGATAGGAGGAGCGTTACTGTTAAGACGCTCAAGTTGGCGCAGGCCGAGGATCGGGCACGCAGGACCTTCCGATGAAGAGGCCATGAAGAGCGTTGACACTTGGTACCGTTTCGAGATAGTTCGACCACATGACGATAGCTCAAGCTCCTCATTTATTCCGCGCAAGCCATCTTATCGACGAGTTGGCACCATTCCGCGATGTTATAAACTTGAGCGTAACGAATTAATAATGCCCTTTGACCTTGGAGCTCCCTCGGCATACAGCTGCGAAACCAGGGTGGACCCAAATTTTGTACTATCGGCACCTATTCCTAGGAAATATCAAAGACCGACACCACGCATATAGGGAGGAAGACAACCTTCGCTACACACACATTGACGTTCGCGACAAATCTCGAGCGTGGGCCGTTTCTCTCGCTCCACACACACACACGCACGCAAACCACTCACAGGCTCTATACCAGCAGACGACCGCATTCACGTTCACCGGTTTCAACCCCTGCACAGATATATGCTTCCTAGCGCGTTTCTATAAGTTGCTCCCACCGCAGCAAAATCGCAGCCCGTTCGCGACTATTTTATCGCTGAAGAGTAAATAGTCCAAATTATAGGACGTTCGCCTAGACTCTCGGGCTCGCCCCGATTGCGATACGGGGTTACACGCACGCAATACACGTACGATTCGACTTTTTTTTTTCTTTTAAGTTGCGATCGAAAGAATACGCGTCGAAGAGATTGGCGATGCCACACTCGCCTAACTATATGTCTGGGTATTGAGTAGAGCCATGATGACCATTACACCAATAAATCCTCTCCACGCATTTTGATGATAGAAGTGAAGTAACACCTTAACCGATAGATTCAATTCCCTTGACATACGCCCTAATACCGTGAAATCGCTCGAACTCAAGGTGTTTACGACCTCTGCCGCTGAGCTTTGATTATCTGATGTTCTGTGGAATCGGGACAGGCAACACGTGTGGACAACGCCTTCCTTGGTATCTGACCGTGAGCGAGGGGAAGGTGCAGCTGAGTAGATCTAGTTTCCATGCACATCAAGTTTCCGCTCCAGCTCCTTCTCCGTCTGTCCTTCACTTCGTTCCCTTGATAGTCGCTGCCAATGTCGCTTGCTATCACCATGAGTTTGATTCTTAATTAATCAGCCACATCCGTTATCATCCTCTAGCACCCCGAACTAGTACGAGAAGTCGAAGACGGACTTCCTCGTACCAATGCCTAGGTGTTTTTATCTTTTCCTTTTTCCGAGCGACCATCACACAGGTCGTCATATAACTCGCTGAAACTTCTAGTTTCTGTTTTTCCGCGCCACCTGTCCAGCTCCAGTTCGTCAATCGTTCATTTGATCCAAGCGCCTCACGGGGACTCCAGTAGCACACAGAGGTTGAAAGAGTGGCATCTGTTTCTCTAGCCAGAAGTGCAACAGGTTTCAATTGAACCCATCGTCCCATCCGTCTATGATATCTTTGCATTAAAGTCTTCATCGCCTCGGTATATTCACCTTCATTTGCTCCGTCTTGGCGATAGCAAGACCTCCGCACGACCTTCACTGACTCCCCTGTACTTCTTCCTCTAGCCTTGACCTTGACAAAAGTTCTTCTCTGAGAGTCCCAGGTGACTGGCATCTACATTTCGCACTCCATTCTCAACAAGAAAACCCGTGTCCGGTTCTTGCCCCGCGATGTCACCGTCCCCATTTTCTGTCTTGACTCGCATGCAACGTCCCACGGGCCGCCCTACCGAAACGGGGCTCGTTCTTTGACAGGCCTTTTTCTTCATTTTATAATCCACTTGATGCTTCCGAAGCCGAGAATGCAACCATGCATGTGCCGTCTGCCGAGTGCCTCCCCATACCCCGCGAAAGTAGACATGGCTTATGATGTAAGAGAACTGGCTTCTAGAGGCCGTCCAATTTTTATCAATCAACAGAAGCTGCTCCCAGATTCCCGGTCCAGGTTGTAATATATTCCATATTCCTATCCGAATGGTGCGCTTGCTCGCATAGTGAAGCCGAGAAAAAGATGGCGGGCGACAGCATGACCTCGGGACGATGCTCTATATGAGACACTGTTATTACTTGCTTTCTCGAAGCCCCTAGCCCGCGCTTTCGCGAGTTTACCCACCAAGATCGATTTAGTTAACTCTCCCACCTGCCGCCTTGCAATAAGTTCGTCATTTCCGCATCTCTCTCAAGACAAGAAGCGCTTCAATCCGAGCTTGCCCCGATAGGGCCTTTCTCGCTTTTGTGTTTGCTGTCGAAGCGCCCATCCATAGATCAATCAATGCATCCGCCCTACGTTAGAGAGAGAAACCATAAGCTTATTGCACAAGCAATATCATAGCTCCGCCGTAGGGAGTTGTTTGGCCAGGGACGTCGGGTCATGCTGGTGCCTCGCTCGTACCTCGGGAGCAATTCACATTTATCCTATAGATCCATTCTCTTCTCTTTTCTTTGACTACTACATATAACGAAGTTTTTCCTTGGTGGGCAGTTTCTTCCTTCCTCGCACTGGTGCAACGATGCGACGACAAAAGGCCAGGAGGGTTAAATGCCAAGATTCCGCTGCGGGGTACCTATCGTCGAGTCTCTGGGGACAGGAATATGCTCGTTTGAAGGGGCAAAGACAGTCAATTCGATGGGAGGGATGCTGGAAATTGTGTTTCCTGGTCCACTGACCCGTCTGTGGGCATGCCTGATGCCGATCTGCCGCCGATGCTCCTCTTATCTGATGTTTGAAGCGAGTTAATTGCATTGAGGGATGAAAATGAATGACGGCCCAGATCCACCTCCACAGACATATATGGCAATTTGTATAGGTATCCATATATTCATATTAGATACATAACCCACACACACACACATGTATTCATATATATATGCTTACCTTTCACCCTCACAACCATGGGCAGACGAGTGGAAATCCTGGGATCGAGCGGAACATCAACCTTAAACCCTGGTGTCACATTCCTGTTTCCATCATGAAACTTCTCGCCCTCCCTATCCTTGCCTCTGCAGCGCACGCGGCCCTGCAGTACGTTGGTGCCGACTGGACATCCGTCATTGTCGAAGAGCGTGCCGGGATCCAGTACACGGACACGTCAGGAGCCGTCAAGCCCCTTGAGCAGATCCTCGCGGCCAATGGTGTAGACACGGTCCGGCAGCGCATATGGGTTAACCCAGCGAACGGCGACTACAACCTAGAGTACAACCTCGAGCTGGCCCGGCGTGCCAAGGCCGCTGGCTTGGCTGTCTACCTCGACTTCCACTACAGCGATAACTGGGCCGACCCGGGCAAGCAGTGGGCCCCACGGCGTGGCCTACCGAGATCAAAGCGCTGACGGACACGCTATACAAGTACACCAAAGATGTCTGCGACGCTTTCCAGAAGATTGGCGTCGCGCCCAACATTATCTCCATCGGCAACGAGATCCGGTCCGGTCTGCTGTGGCCCACGGGGAGGACGGACAACTTTGCCAACATCGCGACCCTGCTCAAGGCCGCGTCCAAGGCGGTCAAGGAGTCAACCTTGAGCCCCAAGCCCAAGATTATGATTCACCTTGATAACGGCTGGAACTGGGGTCAGCAGGAGTGGTGGTACACCAACGTCCTCAAGGCGGGCCTCAGCCTCAACGACTTTGACCAGATGGGTGTCTCCTTTTACCCTTTCTACGGCCAGGACGCGACCCTGGCCAGCCTACGGTCCTCACTGCAGAACATGGCGAAGACGTGGGGCAAGGAGATTGTCGTCGCCGAGATCAACTGGCCTCAACAGTGCTCTAAGCCCGCTAGCCCTTTCCCTGCCGACCTCCGTGACGTCGCGCTATCGTGGCAGGGCCAAGTCGAGTTCGTTAAGAGAGTCGCCGATATTGTCGCAAGCACCCCTAAGGGTACGGGACTCTTTTACTGGGAGCCCGCGTGGATGAATAATGCAGGCCTGGGCTCGTCGTGCGAATCCAACACCATGTTCCAATGGCCCGGAAAGGCACTCGAGAGTATGAAGGTCTTTGGCCAGATCTAGCGTGTCGTCGAGATTTGGGACAGTTGGCTTGATTGGCTTGGGGGCGGGGGTATGACGGGGGAGGGAGAGAGCCGGCGGGATAGCAGATTGTAGGGTTACGATATATATTGTGAGAGAAGGTATTATCACGATAATCAAGTTTGTACATACGAGATATGAGAGATCAAGGTAGCGCACCCGGCATAGAAGGCGAGATGGTTTCGATTGCGGTGGGGAACCGATGAATCTTTTTATTAACGAACTATCAAACTCGACTATTTTCCATTATGAAAAGAATACCTGTCGTTGGCATCTGTCCACCGATAATCTCACTCGTTGCTCGTTAATGTTGGTAGCCCTCTGAAACTTGTGGATGGCCGTCAGCAGTTTATTACTTTGATGAAAATTAGACTGTTTTTGTTTATCCTTTGCGCCGGTCCTTTTTTTCATTTTTTATTTTATTTTAAAGAACAATCCCAGGCTAGTGCTCTGCTCATTCGTCTCTCTCCCCAATGCTCCACTCTTAGTCTCACCACTTGGAGAGGTCATTGGGAAAAAAAGAGAGAAGAAATAAGGCAGGCGAGAAGAAACAGCGAAAAGCAACTGGTCATAGTGTGCGCTACCTACTGGTCCTTAGCAGCCAGGCGGTTCAAGACGTTGGCCTTACCGTTATCTTCACGGAGTTGGTGCTGGGCAATCTCGAAGACGGTGATGTCGGCAAAGACCTGGATTTCCTCTTCGGTCCAGATGGCGAGCTCAGGGACCGGTCGGCGGCGATAAGGGCGGCGGCGACGCAGAGACCGCCGGCGAACGCCGGAGGTCCCACAGGTCCCGCAGGTGCACCCTTTGCGCCTCCTGTTCCGTGTAACACCTTTGCAGGTTTGAGCGACGGCGGTGGCCACAGCAACCTCAGAGTAAGGGGAGGGGGAGAATCCTCTCGCTCCTCTTCGAAGTCGACGAAGTCGACGAAGTCGTAAAAGTCGTCGAAATCGTCAAAGTCGTCGATGTGGACGCCACGAGCAAGACGGAGGTGATAAATTAAGTGATTGCTGAAGGAACAGAGGGTGACCAGAGTGATGATCATGGACACGGAAATGACGGCGCCGATGATGCGCTGAGCAAGAGCAGAGTTCTCGCTAAGCGTGAGATCGAGGCCGAGGACCGCGTTCACGATGCACCCGAGAAGGGCAAAGATAAAGAGCACTTAGGGATGAGCGAGGGCCGGGAATATTAGCGACGGCTGCTATACGATTTTGGGGGAAGTCGTAATGGGGAGGAAGACTATCTTACGTGTAGTAACGATGAGGATCCACATTGCGAAGACGCGGGCGATTTCCCGTCACGCTTTCGCGCTCTTTTGATGAAATGTTTCTTCCTATTTTTCATTAGCGGTAGTCTATGTGAATTGATCTGACTCTGGTGAAAAGGAGAGCGTACCCGTGTAGTTCACCAAAACAGGCTGAGCTGTTCCGGATGCTGGAATCGAAGAGGCAGATCAAGATGGCCTAAGTAGATGAAATGCAGTCAGTATTGATGGTATCCATGGTTTGTAGGCTCTTGTGATGATGAAGACAGGAAGGAATTGCCGCGGAGGATGGGTAATTTGATGAAGAGGGATATAGATATATTGGACAACCACCTGCGGCCTCCTTCTTGGGATTGACGGGAGAGGGTGAGGGAGGTTGTGAGATGGGGGACTAGATGCCTGAATAGGAACAGAGGGGCTCGACACTTCGATCCCGATTTCGCGGACGTCGTCGCCGAGAGGGGAGGAAACGTGACGAAAAGAGAGAACCGAAGCAAAGATCCGATCTGCCTCAACTAGGTGGCATCGTGTTGAGATGGCCTCGCGAGGAAAAGGAGAGAAGACTCCGCTCTTGACGGCCAGATACGTACCTCAGCGTGGAAAACGCGGACGAAGAGGGGATATAATTCTGTATGGAGAAGAAGGATTAGTTTGAAAGAAACAGAAAACAAATCAGGAAGTTGTTCCAACACGCGACGTTCGTCACCTTGTTGTGTGCCTCACCTCCTAATCAGCGATTGGGAATGAAAAAGAGAGTGCTCAAAAACACAGAGCGATGCGAGCAAGGGCGGAGGATATCGAGATGCCTCTCTAGAGAGATGCTTCAAGGTTGCTAGAGGCGGGCAAGGACAATATCCATTCAGTTCGACCGGGGCCGAGGGAAAGTGAGATATTACCAGCAGATGATGATGTTCTCATAAGGAAGAGGGTAAAGGGAAAGGTTTTGGGAGTTAGGAACAAGGGCTAGAGATTTGTATTTGGTGGGAGCCCTAGGTGATTAAGGCTAGGTGAATCAGCACTGGAGTAGAGGTGCTCACTACTAGACTATTCAATCCCGTGAAGCCAAAGGGATTTCCGGAATGGTGATGGTAGATGCGCCGGAGAGGCCCGGATAAGTGGGGCCGGGGTCATTTCACAGGTAAGGGAGAGGCAGGTGCCTTGTTGTTGGGAGGCCTTGAAAAAGGGGGAAGAAAGATAGTTAGATCATACATCTTGGTAGTTAAATGATATGTAGAGTTGTGTTTATGATTCCTCTCTATCCCCTTGGGAACTTGGTCTAAGGGCTACTACCTCTTACCTTAGGTTCACAAACTGATCAATTGATACTTCACATACATGGAGGCATGAGATGGCATGATAAGGTAAAACAGGTCTCTTTGTCTGAGAGCCAGATGGAGAAAAAGACATTACTGAATTAGGTGCTGTGGTAAAGGAGAGGCCCTTGAACCGATCTACCATATCTGTTACATATCAACACATACTCGACGTTGTCACCAAAACGGCCTAGGCAGTCAGCCTGACCGCGCGGCGGCGCTTGGCTTTGCAGCTCCCTATTATCAAAGTCATCACTCGTTAGCAAACTTTATGAACGCAATCAATCAATTAAGGAACATGACGGCCGTGACGACGGCAACGCTCGTAGTCCAGAAGTAGGGGAATAGTCGGTTGGCCGAGCCTTCCTGGGGTCCGTTCTCACCACCTTCGTTGCCACCACCGCCGTTTCCAGGCTCTTCGGCCGTTCCGTTGACGATGGAGATGCGGCCGTCCAACTCGAAATCGACGGGGATTTCTCCTTGATGTACCAGATGAGAACCTCGTCTTGGGTATCGAGAGTGGCAAAGTTTTTGTTAATTTCGAAAATGTTGTCGCCGCCACCAGCAAGGAAGTCGAGGGTGACAATCTTGTAGCTCTTGGACTTGTCAAGCGGCTCGCCTCCGATAGTGACACGGACAAGCTTGGCCCCGTTGGCGTTGTCCGGGTTATACTCTATCCTGACGTCCTGGCTGACCTGGAACCAGGTGGTGATGGCCTTGTCGTTGAACTGGTTCCACTTGGAAACGGCACCCTCAAGAATCTTCCAGACATCCTCACCGCTGTAAGTGAGTTGAACAACCGAGTTTCCAAAGGGGAAAGAGGTCAAGACCTCGCCGCGGGTGATCTCGCCAACGTCGATAGTGGCGCGGATACCTCCAGCATTGATCAGAGCAAAGTCGGGCTTATCCGCCTCCCCGGCGTTCTTGATGCGATACTGAACCATGGCATCGGCCATAAAATCGCCAAGGGTGCATTCCTGTTGCTGGCAAGTAGTCTGATCAAGCTCAACCTTAGTCTCGCCGACGACCTCGGCGGCAAATTCCTCAAAGGGACCGCGCCACTCCTTGATCTTTGCCTGGAGCTCTTCATCCATAGCTGTGCTATTGTCGAGGTGGATGGGCCCGCCGTGGTAGGCAAGAGCCCGACCTTCATCATCAAATGTCACGTCAATGTAACCAACATACTCACCCCATCGATAGGCGGTGACGATGAAGACTTCATCACCAGCCTTGTTTTGGATCACGGTGGGGTAAGGGCCTTCGGCATTGCTCATGTTACCCAGGGGTGTGTGGCTGTGACCGCCCATGATAAGACTCAAACCTGTGGTCTCTTCGGCGAGGCGTTTGTCCTCATCGTAGCCAATATGGGTGAGGGCAACGATGCGCTTAATGTCGGTCGTGGCCTTGATATGATCAATGGTCTGCTGCACGGTCGAAACAACATCGAGGAATTCGGTACCATCGCCAACGGAAGAAATGGTCTTGGTGGTTGGAGTAGTACAGCCAATTACAGCAATCTGTTGCTTGTCGAAGATGACGTAGGGCTTGATGGTCTTGTTCAATCCCTCATACGAGGAGACGATGTTGGCCGAGATGACGGGGAAGGTGAGATTCTGGAGAAAGTTGCCAAGCTCCTCGTCGCCGCCATCCCACTCGTGGTTGCCCAAGGTCATGGCGTCGAATTCGAGAAGGTTGAGAACCTCGCCAATCTTCTCCCCTTGTAAAAGGAGTAAAACAGTGTGCCCTGGAACTCATCGCCGGCATTGAGCCAGAGAGAGTCTTCGTACTGAGGGCGGAGGGTGTCAATGGTATGCTTGATGCGAGCGTAGCCGCCGTAGCATCCCTTGGACGGGTTGGTGCAATCCGTGCCCGAAGAAGAAAACTGGTCGAGGTGGGCGTGGACATCGTTGACGTGGAAGAAGGCTAACGTGAAGTGTAAGCGAAAGGTTTACATAAAAAACGGGAAATGCTGCTGCTCCACATAGATGTCGATCGCATCCACCGGTTACAGACAGGACAACAACATACACATATTATAGTTGCCCGCGGCATCGATTCCACGCTTCATCATGCGGGAACTGTAAAGGACATCCTCGCAGGCACCGACGCCAGCGAGGGCCAAGGCCGTAAAGAGAAGGGATTGGCGCATCTTGAGGGGGCAAGCAGCACAGCGTCTACACAAAAGGAGCGTATCGAAGAAAGAGCGGGTCCAACTTCAGTGGGGGAAGGATAGTGTATACTGGAGCAGTCAAGATGAAGGTAGCCGCCTCAACCGAAGAAAGCCAGAGATCAGAGGTGAATCCCAGGGCGGCGGGACTGACGTCGCAGTTCATTTATATCGATCTCCATCTCGCTGGCAACGTGCTCAAGCTTCACCTCAGCAGGGCCGATGGAACCCAATGGATCGAGGGAACAATTGAGCGGAGACACGCATGTGGGCCGACTCAGTAGATGACGCGGTATCGCATACAAGAGCCCCCACTGCTTCCTTTTTTTCGTCAACTCTTCGATTTTGACCAGTGGATGGATCTTGGAGTCGTGCTGGTCTCTTCTTGGCTTCATGGGGAGGCGAAGTTGGAAGGGACGTTCCCCAATGATAGCATGGATTGGCCTATCACATGCCTTGGGGCGCCAACGAGCATCAAAAGTTCTTTAATTGTCGGTAACTAAAAAGGTTCCCGGGCAGGTATGATGGGGTTAGACAGCAAAGGGAAGGTGCTCAGCAATCTATCCCCATTATCGCACGTGGCCTGGCGATTGGTCCAATTGGCGGGGTTGGATTGATGGCTTCCCTGTTCTTTGGTGGCCAGAAGCGTTCTGGAGGATAAGCACGTTACAGTGGGATCAACGGTATTATCAGCAAATGAAGCCCCTCCTCCCAGCCAGATATCACAAAGCAGATGCACAGCGGGAATTGGCATTTCGGAAGCAAGCCAAGTCCGGTAGAGAGCCCCGACTCGCATTGGCGAAATGGACCCGTCTGCGAGTGTCGCCCGCCAGACCGAACGCCGGGATTGGAAAACGCCGTGCGCGATGAGAATTTCTTGCATAACGCTCATCTCGCAAGCACAGGGTCTTATCCCACGCGCTCGCATCGTTGGAAGCACCGGCAGAATGATCTCGATGTGGTTTCTTGGCAGTGGAACCCCGAGCACGGTTCTGTGACAGTCGGAGGCTCGCAACTGAGGAGTTGCCCCTCTAGTCCGGAACGTCCTCCCCGACTGACCGCAGTACCTTCTCTAACGTTCTTGAGAATTAACAAGGGGGCTCGCCCTTCCGCTTATCGTCTCATTTTCTTTTGGATAACAGAGCCAGCGCAGGCTTAGCCTCTGCATTTGTCGACAGCGGCGCCTTTAATCCACTTGGGTGAGGCGATGTAGCCAAAATATCTAGGTATCCAGCTAATTCCTCTGTAAAGGAAGAGAAACAAAAAGGAGGCACAGGGGAGCATTACATATCATTCAACACTTGTATCGTATCGGGGTTTCAATCACCTCCTTCCTAAGGCAAAGGAGCAGAGAGCCTATGGGGATATTAAAGGCAGCGCCCATGCCGAAGAACTTCGAGTCGCTAGTATCTCTCGGAGAGCCGGATTCCCCAGAGATGGCGCAATCCCATCGCTTGCGGGTTCAAAGCTGACTTTTGAAGTGCCGACACCCACCTGGGAGCAGTGAGGCGGTCTTCAGATGAGATCGACAGGATCTAACAACTTAAAAATGCAGCCGTCCGCCTCAATCCCTTTGGGGGTCACACGCAGGTGTCGCGGAATTATCCCATTCCGACGCTCGGGAGACTCTCCTATTTGGCAGTTTTTTTTTTTTTTTTCTTGACCATGCCACAGTCATAAATTTAGTCGTTGAGAGCCAAGGCGAGTATCTTCGGGTTTGGGGCGAGTGTTTGTGCGGCCATCTACCCGCCTCGTCTAGCCTGCGGGCTTCGTGGGGGACACAGTACTCAGCGGCTGGCTGCCTCGCTTCGTCGCAGAAGAGGTGTGTCAAATCCGCACGTTTCGGCAGGGGAAGAGGGTGCGATTGCATCGTGAGTCGACTTCTCTAGGCGTTGTATCTCCTTTCCGGCCAAACTTCTTTATGAAGGGACTTCAAGAAGAAGGGACGCTTAATATTCGATTTGGTGCTATCTTGACGAGCAGCAGGCCTTTGTTGTCCGCTAACACGCCATCAAGAAGAAGATTGTGCCTGCGTCTGACCTAATCAATCTTCTTCGTCCACCATGGGATCATGGGATGCTAAGCTACTGTTAACGCTTGGCTCCTGCCACTTCTTGAGGTCATCCTCGCGTTCTGGTCTCGACCCTGACTTGACTATTTGGCCAGGGCGAGTTCTCAAACTGCCAAGCTTTCCAGGATTTTTACCGCCGTGACAGATGACGATTTACAAGATAGATGGTGCTACCCAGCCAGATTAGCCTATTCGGGGTCACCCTTCGCTTTCTCTGCACCATCTGTTCTCTCCGCGGGCATGGCCTCAGAGACCCAGGCCTCTGGAAACTCAAAAGGGATCGCCCCTGTTGAAGCAATCCAATTTTCCGATAGGTCCGCCGCGAGAGATGGTGCCCCGGAACCTTTCTCCATGATCTTCCCGACAAGAAGGAAGAAAGAGAAATAGAAGAGGGCAGCCAGCAGGGTAATAACAGGTACCAAACTTTGGGTGCTAAATCTGGAAGGAATTGTCTGGTGCACTTCCCGTTCCGTGTGCTGTGGTTAGCTTACCCCACTGTTTCAGGATTCACACTCAAGAGGCTCTGCTGTGCCTTTGGCCTCTGTCCCCCAACTTGCACCGGCCATCTTTGGTTCCCTGCTCAAAAATGGAAAGGCCATATTACCCTTACTCCCGCCTTAGGACAAGGTGATCTCCAACACGCGACACGACTCGAACCAATGATGTGGCCCCTGCACCGAGGCTATTCGCACCTGTAACAAGAGCCTCGATGGCAAAATGCCCCCCGCCTCACCTCCGTCGGCCCACCAGCTTTCTGCCTTTATTGTATCAATTCGCTGGCGCACCCGATTCGTGGTCTCTTGACCTTTCTTTTTTTGGTTCGGGTTTGCTCGATGTTGTATCTCAACCTCAGGCTATTTTCCCGTCGGAATGGAAGCGGAACAAGTCGTCCCATCCCCCTCAGGTGGGTATACTCCACGTAGGCGGCGACCCTCTCTCAGCAGCCTTCAGGTCGCTGTCCTCTTCCGACATATCTCATCTCTGGTATCTTTCGACCTCCGGAGGAGCCTAGCCCGCACCAGTACACATCTTTCTTGAGGGGCTACCGCTGGTATTGAGTGATCGACAACCAAAGATGGTGTACGGGTTTTACTTTACTCTGCGGGACTTGAGAATCGACACGACCAGCCCGGGGGCACCCTATAGCGAAACAATTATTACCGCTGTACACTACACCCCACCAATACAGAGAAGATAGGAAAATGTAGACACAGAGGACAACCGGCGAAGCCTTAGGTAGCTCGTCGTTATTCCCTCCGAGAGCCAAAATATGAATGCTGATCACGCGCATCCCGCCGTCCCCACTCCGTTCCTTGTTTCTCATCCCTCCCGTCCTCTGGCTCCTTGTCCTTCTTAAATTCCTGGCCAGAGACGCCTCGATTTCGAAGACATTTCCGAGTTTCTTTTCTCCGAGATCATGGTGTAGTACTGTTAGGGTAAGATCAACGTTGTATGGAGTTGTGGCAGTTCACTTTGATTCATTCTCGCCACTTGCGCTGAGCGCGCAGGCTTCACCTCTCTTTCACTTCTTGGTCCCATATTGATACAGAGTATCTGTGATACTCTCCTTCTTTCTTTCTCCTTTCTCGCCGTTCATCGCGAACACAAGCCCTATCCAGGGCCAAAAGGAACTCGTTCTGTTCCTACATCGACATCACTCACTTTTACCAAATCTACCATAGAAGGGGATATTGCGGGTATCCGCTAATTAGAAGATGGCTTCCATGAGCGAATATGACATGAACCACTCGCCCGAGACTCTAGCGCCTCTACCAGCAGTTTTGCGGCACGGTCTCGCGGCGGTGGGCACTTTCGGCGTCCTATCTTTCATTTCGAGCACAGCCCTTACCGCTTTCCTCGCCTATAAGCTTATTATGTGGCAGATGCCTCGCGAAGAGTCCAAGGATACTGTCTCAGAACGCCCCGAATCCCCGCCAGCATTCGACCATAACGGTTTCCTCGTTCCTCACCGACCGCTTAGTCCTCTAAAGGAGGAAGATGGACCGCCAGAGAAGGACACTTTTGGACCAAGCTCCAAAAGGAGCCGCCGAACCAATTCCTCATCCTAGTCTTGAACCTCTTCTTTGCCGATGCCCAGCAGTCCGTCGCATTTCTTCTCAGTTTCCACTGGCTGGCCAAGGATGCGATACAGGTTGGGACTTCGGCTTGTTGGGCCCAGGGGTGGTTTATCTCGAATGGTGACCTCGCGTCATCGGTCTTCATCACCGGAATCGCCATTCACACCTATTTAGGTGTGGTTAGGGCTATCGTCTTCCATCTTGGGTGTTTTACTCGGCCATCGCAGCGATGTGGACGTTTGTGTACCTTCTCAACGCACTTGCTGTCGTCATCACGCAGGACGGTGCCGGGTACGGTGGGTTGTTTGTTCGCGCGGGTGCCTGGGTATGTTGTCTACGATATATGTCTGAAATCCCAACTTATGCAAATGCTAATCTGAACACTCGCGTGTGCAGTGTTGGTGGAATCCCGAATTTCAGGATATGCGCCTCTACTTCCACTACTTGTGGATTTTCACTTCACTCACCATCACTGTCGCCTTCTACACCGTCATCTTCTTGCACCTCCGGAGCCTCAAAAGACCGGGGCCAGGCCCAAGGTGAGGGTCTCGGCTCTCGGTCGTAGCACCTCTCGTGCCAAGCACTACCCCAATCCCGATCCCAACTGGCAGTCGCAGGCGCCAGGAAGCCCAACGTCTTTGGCGACTTCTTTTGCGTCTTCACTATACAAAGAGCTGCCGCCAATCCCCGACTCGGCTCGCCAACAGACCTTTCTCCTTTATCCTCTCATCTACGTTGTCTGCACACTTCCGCTGGCGGCGGGTCGTCTAGCATCTATGGCTGGCAACGAAGTCTCCCTTTCGTATTTCTGCTTTGCAGGGGCCGCCATTGCATGTAACGGATGGCTCGACGTCGCCCTGTACACATACACGCGCCGCGCGATTGTCTTCGCCGACGGCCCTCCTACGCAGGACACGGGCATCAACACGTTTGCTTTCATGCGCACTCCCCCACACGCAAGTTTGGCAACGTGGTTATCGTCTCCGGCGGCCAAGCCAACCAGAAGGATAAGCGTCGGTTCAGGGCACAGGAGAAGTGGAATGAGAAGGTGGTCAACGGCGGAGTGTTGGGTAGGCTCAAGGGTGGCAAGAATCAGAGCCAGGACTCCCTCAAGGGATTCGGTATGGGCAAAGGGGCCGTGATGGGCATGGCGATCCAGTGCGAAACGACGACGACGGTGAGCGTCGAATATGACACCTCGGACGAAAGTTACGGAGCAGGGTCAAACCCGACAACAACTCGCCGGCTGGCCTGAACAGAGAAGGCGTCTACTAAAGGCCAGCTTCGGCGGTCTTCCGCTCCGGCAAATCAAAAGCCCCGGAGGGGCACGAAAAACACACATACACCAAGACTTCATTGTTTAATGTATTAATATGGGAATGACGGGTATGACAATATTCACGGGAGGATATATGGACGGGTTATAGGGTTGGATCTGGTCGGGACTTGGGAATGGGAGGAACTAAAACAAAATCAACACTCACGGCAGGGGGTCAAACTAGATCCGGATATAGGGACGGCGCTGCAACTCCTTTTATCTGGTGGCGCGTTTCCGGAATGCTTTTCTTTCTTTTCTTCTTCTTCTTCTTCTTCTTCTTCTATCTTTTCTATTTCCCCCTCCTTTGTTCTCCCCTTTTTCTTCTTCTTCGATCTCCCTCTCCTGATATTGTGGGAAGGGGTAGCTCGACAGTTGGGGGATGAGGACAATGGGAGGGGTTTCTGGGAAAACTGGCGGGGCGTGAGAGATACCTTATTTTCTTTCTTCCTTTCTTCTTCCTTTTTCTTCTGCTTTTCTCGGGAATACAGGTGGGATATAGGTTTTCGGCGCGTGTATGATATACCCCTTCCTATTCTTGAGAATTGATCTCCGTGCTTTGCGGTTCTTACTTTTGCGAAACTACACCACTTTTCCTCATCGTGAGCGTCATGATCTAAACCATTTCTTTTGTAGTCCTTGGGCTTGTAGTTTCCACATTGCGGTGATTATCTTGGCCCTGCGACTAAGTCATTGAGGGATGAGGTTCGTACGGCCGCTCATTTAGTCTTCAAATGTTGACAGTCATATCACGACACTTGCAGACTAGGCCGTCCCCATCCCATTTGGTTTGGTAGGACTGAGGAGGGAGTGTAGAGTTGGGTGGGGAAGTGGAGGACCTGGAGGCTCTGCTATTGGGGAGGGAGGGGGCGGACAGCGAGGATTTGTGGGTGTTTAGGGAACCCGCCGATCAAATTATGCGTCGGTCACGCGAAGATCACGACCGAGCCCCGAGACAGGAAAGGGGACAAAATGGTGAGAAGAAGAGGCGTCGGACAAGGGGAACGATCATAAAAGACGTGCGTCTATAGATCTAGACGTGCTCGCACTCGGGCCATTGCTCGCATAAACTTGGGGTCTGTTCGCACACATAAACTTGCAGCCAGGTGCTTATCTTTCAAAAGATCCATGGATCGAACGAGTGCGGCGACAGAACAATGGGTCTAAGCTCGTCAGTTTTTTTTTTTAATTTATTTTCCTTTTCTTACTTTCCTTTTTTTTTCTCGCTGCGGTTGGTCTGTAGATACTGAACAACGCGAGTTTTCCTACATAGTCGAAGCGGGCGAGATTCACCTTTCGCCCCGCGCTATGTAACTCTATCACTTTGGTATAGGTTTCTACAATGGCGCGAAGGGAAAGGGTCGTAGGGTAGGGGAGAGAAAGGGGAGAGTGGAGTCCAGACGGGTAGGAGACGTAGATCACTGGCGGAAGGTAGCGGAAAAGGAACCGGAAGGGTAAGCTGGCGCGGAAGAGGCGAGGGCAAGGAGGCTGCCGAATTGCCCGTTTGCGTGGGACGAGCGAGGGAAAAGACTTATTGGGATGCCGGCAGAAGTGTGTACTTGTAGGAAGCCTAGAAAAAGAGAGTCGATACGACTGGATGCTGGAGAGAGGTGATTAAAGCTGTCCGAGAGGGTAGAAACCGAATGATTCTATGATCCTGGACGACCGTTTATCGTCAATCTCTTGGTTGACTTTGGGTGGAAGGAATGCGGGGAGGCTGGTCCTGGTCAGAGAACATGGACAAGGGCAAGGGTTTAGATGCGAGAGAGAACAGAGAACACAAGCAACAGCGAGGGGCGGAGGGTTTGATCCGTGGGTGGAAATTGGCTTGTGTTCTTTGGCAAGGGCAATTGGTTTGTCAAAGCCTGCAGGGTTTATTCTGACGGGGAGAGAGACAGAGGACGAGGCATGAACCGCTCGTCCTTCTGCTGGGAGGTTGAAACGTTCTAGAAGGGTCTAAATCTGGGTGGTGGCGGTTTCAGCGCGTCCCACGCAAGGAGGACAGGTGTGGCGCATCCGGGGCTGCATGTTTGTGCCATGAACTGTGCAGTCTTGAGCGATGGGCTGATGGAGAGTGATGTGATTTTGTACGAACGGAGAGGCCGGGAGGTTCGGGCACGGGTCTTGGGATCTCCGCGATGGGGGATACGGCGGGGCAAAAGTCTCTTTCTCTTGTGAAACCCCAGAGAGAGGCCGCTCTGATGAGGCATCGAGCACGAGAACTCGGCGCCCGACTTCTAGCAAGAAAAGGACAGTGCCTCGGTACGGGCTCGGCTCCCAACGCTAAATCAAGAGAAAACTGATACTATTACCACTGTATCCTCCCCTCCTCGACCGTGGAAACGAGCTGCCTCGCCTGCTGACAGCCCAGGATGAGGAACCGAACAAGGGCTCACAAGCGGCCCTTGTTTCGGCGCATCGCAACCATGGAGACTCCAGCCCTATCCGACTAAGAAAACAGCGCCTTTTACGAGAGGTCGAAGGCCCACTCGTTTCGACGCCCCAGGAGCCAATCTCTCTTCAAGGGAAAAGACTATCTGTAAAGAGTGGAGACCAAATGTTGCGGTTCGAGCCCCGTCGAGACCCACTTCTCGTCGGTCGTACTCCGGGGCGGGGACACGATACCGCCTGGCGGGAACGGAGAGAAAGATGAAATAGGAAAAAAATGAAGGGGGAGGGGAGGGAAAATGCCGTTACGAGCCTAGCTTACTCTTTGAGGAGGGGGTGAAGAGGGTGCGCAAGAGGCTTTAACCCCCACCATTGGAAACCTCCTCAATAGGACCGCGTGTATCGCTTCCACCTCGTATTTCCAGATGAAGAGAAAATTTAGAGATGACTCCGCACTGAATAGGGAGAAAAGGGGAAGGGGAAGGAGGATTGACGAGGAGGGGCAGGAAGCGGGGTATCTTGATATAGGGGATGAGGTCATCGTGTTGGAATTTGTTAGCTCTTCCCTAGCTTATCTTTTTTTTTTTTTGTTCGAGGAAGCTTTAAATGGTCTTGGGGCCCTCCCTGATTTAACCTCGTGGTTGCTAACTCTTGATCTTGCTTCGACCTCTCGTGTGATCTCCACAAGATACCAGAATAACCCTCCATCTCCAAGGCGAACCCATCATTCAAGATCGTTCCCCTGTTCGCGACAATGGCACCTCTCAACGTCGGCGTCATCGGCTACGGGTACGTAAAACCTCAGAATCTTCCCACCTCGTAATCCTCCTCCTCCCCCAACAGTCTTTTGGGGAGAAACTACGCCAGCTGTTTCCCACGCGTACATGTACTCAATGCTAACGTGCGCTCCACCACCCCGCCTCACAAAAAACAGCCTATCCGCCAAAGTCTTCCACATTCCCTTTGTCGAAGCCTCCCCGCCCTAACCCTCCACTCCATCGTCCAGCGCAACCCCGACGCCTCCCCTCCTCCTCCGCCCCGCGCGACCACCCTTCCGCCACGCACTACCGCGACGCCCAGGACCTCATCGCCGACCCGGCCGTGCACCTCGTCATCGTCACCACCCCGCCCAACACTCATCGCGCCCTCGCCGAAGCCTGCCTGCGCGCGGGCAAGCACGTCCTCGTCGAGAAGCCCTTTGTCCCGTCCTCTGCCGACGCCGCCTACCTCGCCCAGTTGTCCGCCGAGACCGGCGCTCTGCTCTGCGTCTTCCAGAACCGCCGCTGGGACGTCGACTTCCTCACCGTGCGCGACCTCCTCGCCCGCCGCGTCCTCGGCGACCGCGTCGTCGAGTTCGAAACCCACTTTGACCGCTACCGCCCGCGGCGCCCGCGGCCGGCTCGAGCTGGAAGGTCGGCCTCGCCGCCGAGCAGGGCGGCGGTCCTCTCTACGACTTGGGCACCCACCTCATCGATCAGGTCTATGCTCTCTTTGGCACGCCCGAGCGCGTGTTCGGCAAGGTGACTGCGCAGAGGTCGGCGGCGGCGGGCGACGGCGGCGACGCGGAACCGGATTCCGTCACCGCCTTGCTGAGCTACCCCGCTGGCGGACCTGCCGTGCACGTGCGCATCTCCGTCATGTCTGCCCAGGAGCCCCAGCCGCGCTTCCGGATTCGGGGCACGCGCGGCACCTTTGTCAAGTCCGGCCTCGATCCTCAAGAACCCCACCTCCGCGCGGGTGGTACGATCGCGGATGAGGGTTTCGGCAAGGACCAGCATCCGGGCACCATCTACCTGGCCAAAGAAGACGGCTCCGTCTCGCCTGGTGAGACATGGGCGGGTGTCGAGCCTCAAGGCTACGGAACGCTCCTAGAGTCTTTTGCCGAGGCCATCAACGCCAAAGATGCGTCCAAGGTCCCCGTGAAGGCGAGCGAGGCGGCTGATGTGCTCAGGATCATCGAGGCTGTCATGGAGAGTTCTAGGACAGGCGCCGAGATCAAATTGTAAAGTTTTTGATAAAAAGAATTACGCGAAAATAAAACTCGAATGCAAGGGGTGAGGGAGCAGGAAAGAATAGAGTGCGCGATAGGGAAGGAATGTACGTCTTGGACTGCATGGATGGATCTAGTGCGAGAGCTTCAAGAGAGGAGGGATCAAAAATGCGTCTAGATGCCATGATGTCTCATTATATTCAAGATTGAAGCGTGGGCTCGGGAGGAAAGATGTAATGCTAGCTAATGCAACGCCCACGATATGCTAGATGAATAATAAAGGTGGGAAAATAGAATAGAGACAATGTGGTAGAGGAGATGGGTAGGGTATAGGATATATAGTTTGACCTCGGCCCATAAAAACGAAGAAAGATCATTTGCGGCTGCGCGTATATACACAGGTAATATACAACAGATGGTGATAGAGACGGCAGATGCCATCATTCACACGCACGAACACACACGCACACATACATGTATACTACATCCACCATCACCCTCTAGCTCAGACACTTGAAGGTGTTTCTCCAAAGGGGTAGTTGAATTTGAGGAGGCTGTTCAAACCCCCGACCCAGCCGTCGTCGTCCTCGTTGGCCCTCTCGGCGTCGCCGCTAGGGGCACGCGTATGACGCACGGCACACCGCCGATCCAGCCGCCGCGGGGAGCGGACGATTTGCTCGCCCTCGACGCGGATCTCGCGGCCGATGATAATATCGGCGCTACGCTTGCCGTCGACGCTGACCTCGAGCGCGCGGCCGCGGTTCTTCTTGCTTAGGCGGAGGACTATCTTGGAGTTGAGGGGAGGATGAGCGGTCGGAAGCTGAGGCTGCGGGGGCAAATGGGGGTGATGGACATGGACTTGACGAGCGGGTGGACGATGGAGCCGCCGGCGCTGAGGCTGTAGGCGGTGGACCCCGTCGGGGTGGAGACGATGATGCCGTCGGCCACGGCCTCGGTGAGGAAGTGCCCGTTGAGGAAGATGTCCATGATGACGAGGTGGGGGTCGGGTCCGCGGTGGATGAGGAGCTCATTGACCACGTGGACGGACTCGGGGGTTGGCTGCACTACGGCGCCCGCAGGCTCTGTGAGAGCGTCATGTAGGCTGGGGATAGGGGCCTGATGGGCATCGGTAGTCACCCTGGGTATGAGCTCGTGATTGAGGCTCTCGCCAGAGGAGTCGTAGAGTCCGACTTTGAGGCGATGACGCAGGAGCATCTGGGATGCTCGTTGACTGCCGAGGCTCTGGCCCCGGACCACATCCCAGCCGTCGCTCACACGGGCCTCGGTGGCCCTCTCGGTTGTCGCAGTCGTCGTTGTTGCAGCCGCGGCGGTTGTAGCATCGGTGAGAGCCTTCCCTGCGGCAGCGATTCGTGTGTGGGAGCGACCAGGTCTTCCACGGACACGCCGCTACCGCTCATGTATACCTCCCTCCAGGCGCGCTTGTACTCGTCAAACTTCCACTCGCCCAGGAACCCCAGCGTGCCCATACTAAAGGCGAGGATTGGGGCACGGACGTCATGAGGCTGAAAAGACTCGCGGCGTGCAGAATCGTGCCATCGCCACCAAGGGTCACGGCGATGTCTACTTTGGAGGGTAGGAGGCTGGAGGTGCTGTAGGATGTATAGACGGGGAAGGGGAGGGAGTCGTGGATCTCGTGGGCCGTCTGGGGCTCGAAGATGAGGTTGAGTTCGGGGTAGTTGTTGTGGAGGTACTTGGCGAGGGCAATAGCGGATAGCGTGACCTGAGGGCGCACTGCTTGGGGATGAGGAGGACGTTGCGCGGGGTTTCGGCCACTGTAAGGATAGGAGATGGGTGTTGGGCTTATCCACGTAAGTTGGGATTATGCGGTTCGGGAGGGAGGAGATGTCGCATATCGTTTTTCGGGGCCGCGACGAAGAGAAAGGCCTTCGCTCGTGAAGGCATGCTGGTATTGATCGTAGAGTGAAGAGAATAGGTCGCGTGAGTTGGCCACCGAGCGAGGTCAAGGGCCGGCCCTGAAGCCCCGGCTTGGGTGAGAGGTGTAGTATTCTACTCATTTTTTAATAGTGATAATTTCCCACCATTCTCTTTAACCACTGAAGAAAGTGGTGGAGGGATGGCTCGAAAGTTCCCTCACGGTTGAGGGAAAAGCCGTGAATGAGGGGGACTGCGGAGTCGGTGAGGGGAGGATGACGTGGGATTCATAGGAGACGGGCAAGAGGGCCCGATTTTCGGGGGTTCCCGAGGGACAGGTTCCCCGAGGGGCCGCCGCTGATCGGGTGTACAACTAAAAATACTTGGAGCTCCCGGGATGGGGGCGGAGGGGCGAAAGGGGAGGCTGATCGAAAAAGGGCCAAAAGCGCGGATGTCGGATTGGTAGAAAAGGGAAAAAAATTCCGAGAGAAGGCGCCGAGAAGCAGGACGAACTTGAGTTGGTGTCACCACGCCACAGACCACACCGTCGGCTTGGGCTTCCTCAAGTTCAACCAGTCCTCTCTTCAGTGGACCAGCCAATCATGCCAAAGATAAATGGAAGCTTGTCCCCTCGTCATGCTTCCGCACCCCACATTTCTGGGCCTAAGATTTTAGTGCTGATTGGTTAATCCTCGGCCGCATCTGGCTTGAGCTCTCGAGCTGCCTCCCGTCAGGCAGGCGCGAGGCGTCACATGCCCCGTGCACCATCCAAAATCTCAACTGGGCGCAGCTGCTGGCTTTCCATGTGGCTGGGGGAGAGCAGAGCTCGCTCCACTTTCGTGTTCCCGGAGAGTTCTTTCTCACCATCCCATCACCCATCACTCAAGCTCAAGACCTGAGCCTGACGTTGGCTTGCATGGCATGACAGTGAACTTAGAATTGGGCTTTGGGTTGCGTGCATCACAAACGAAACAGGTCACCAACAAAAGAAGCAAATTTTTGATGGTTTTCGGTCTCTCGCACTTTCCACCCTAAAAGGTAGAGCAAATCGAGGCGACGGAAACGGGCCTGTTTTGACAAAGAAATATTTCGAAAAGCGTCAACCGAGGTTTCCGGCGGCTGGAAGCGCCCCCGAGTTTTTCCATTCTTCTAGATGGTCTTTTATTAAGCTCATGGAAGGGTGGCATTGTTCAATCTTTGATGAAGTCACCATTCAAACAGCACTTGAGCACTGACAATCCTGGGCTAGACCGCCCCGGAGACAAACCCCCAAGGCAATTGCTGGCAGGACCCACCTCCGTCGACTCGAGTGGTCAGCTGCAGGCATTCAGGTGCGCAGCCATTCCAGCCCCGCGCTCCAAGCCCAAAGAGCTCAACCTAAAAGTCAAACCTGAGGAAAAAGGAAAAAGGCAACCAAGCACGAACTGCACATATGCTCGCACGAGCACACGCACACATTCCCTCTCTCAACACTTGGGCTCGTTTGCAGGCGCTGGCTATTTGTCCCCCAGTGGTTAAAGCGGGCTTCTTTTGTTACACTTTGTTCAATTGCTTTTCACATCCCCCCTCCACATTTCGCAGCAGCTTCTTCCCTAAAGAGGGGCATGGTTCGAACATCAGCCACCTGAGTCCCACATTGGACCTCACAAGAGTCCCTGTTTCTCTATCGCTCACGCGCACGCCGAAGCTTCCGCTCAACCCAAAATCCCCTCCTTCACGGGTGCCTGGGTGGTGACGGCACTGGCACGTGCTAGAATTACTCGAAACATTTTAACATCCACTCCTTTAAGACTTAAAGAACTCCAGGGTCCTGTGAACGGTTTGCTCGTCATCTCCAAACGTCTCAATCCGGGACCGACGACAAATCTATCAGATTCAATCATTCCTCCATCGCGCAGGACAAGCAGGAATATATTGACTGAGACCCCCACTTCCGCCCGCTTTTCCAACTTGCTGATCTTATCTCCGCCACTTGGTCACCTCCTTGCTTTTCCAAGCCTTCCACGCTCGACCCAACCCTCGTTTAGCCCTCGTCCTCCGCGAAACGCCGGAGCGGGCTTGGCCTTGTTTTTTGTCTTTTTTTCCCTTCCCATTTCTGCATCTTATCTCTCTCATCTCTTCACAACGGACTTCCTCAATTAATCTTGGCCTGTCATGGAGGCCGAGCTCAAACACCGCCATGTCGGCAAGACAAATGGAGCCCCCGTCCCCGCGGCCCAGATGCCGACGAAAGAAGATGTTCTCACCGAGGTCCATCCGCACCCTTCCGGCGAGATCAAGCATAGTCGATACGTCCAATGGTTCCGCGGAGTGACCTTGGTACTCTTCCTTGGGCTGTCCTGCGTTGCGTAAGTCAATTCTATCCTAGCACCTCACTTTGCGTCTCTTCGTTTGGTCTTTGGCCTTTTTCGTTTTTATTCAAGCTGACGGGTTCATCTAGGATCTTCTTGACGCAGCTTATCGGCTCGCCGTTGTATCTCTATGACCAGGATATGTTCTACGCGTATATGGCCCTGACCAAGCAGTCCTTTGCACTCGTGACCATGTCCATCACTCAATGGTGGGGCCCCACTGTTGTCCGCATCAGCGGCGATACCTCTGTCGCTGGTCAGATCCACCTCACCAAGGATGGAAGGGTCGAGTTCAGCTTCCCGGAGCGCATAGTTCTAGTCGCGAACCATCAAGTAAGATCAGAAAACAGGCAAAGGTGTATCGCTGGTTTGACCTGGATCCGAGGCTAACCAAAGATCTAGATTTACACGGATTGGCTCTACCTTTGGTGGGTTGGGTACGCCAACAGCCCCCAGATGCACGGCTACATATACATCATTCTCAAAGAGTCGCTCAAGCATATCCCCATCCTGGGCCATGGTATGATGTTTTACGGCTTCATCTTCATGTCCCGCAAGATGGCAGTCGATCAGCCTCGTCTCGCCCACCGCCTGCAGAAGCTCAAGCAGGAACACACCGCCCCAGATGGCAGCAAGTACCTCAACCCCATGTGGCTTCTACTTTTCCCGGAAGGCACCACAGTCACCAAGAACGGCCGGTCCAAGTCTGCTAAGTGGTCCGAGAAGACGGGCTACAAGGACCCGGAACACGTACTGTTGCCCCGCAGCACTGGCACCTTGTTCTGCTTGAGGGAGCTCAAAGGAACGGTAGACTACGTGTATGATTGCACTGTTGCGTATGAGGGTATCCCGTAAGTTCTCTACACTTTCTTATTCTTCCTCCGGCCTCGGCCCCCACGAACCCAGCGCCCAGCTAACAGCGCCTCCAGCCGCGGCCAATATGGTGAGGACTACTTTGGCCTCGCAACTACCTACTTGCAAGGCCGTCCACCCCCATCCGTTAACTTCTACTGGCGCCGATGGCGTGTCGACGACATTCCTCTCGAGGACGCTGCTGAGTTCGATGAGTGGCTCCGCGCCCGCTGGTATGAGAAGGACGCTTTGATGGAAGGGTATCTCCAGACCGGCCGGTTCCCCGTTCTACCGATGACATTGGCACGGAAGGCTATGTCGAAACAGCCGTCAAGACCAAATACCCCGGCGAATTCACGAGAACCTACGTCGTCCTTGGCGCCGTCTACCTCATCTGGCGGATTGCTGCGAGATTCTGGGCAGCTTTCTCTGGGGCCTTCTAATTGCCGCTAGGGTGAGCTTCGTGGAAGTCAAGGAGGGGGCGTCCGCCTAACCGCAGGCCACCTCTCCATCCGGTGCCACTCCAGCGATCTTTCATTCTCTTTTTTCTTCCCTTTTTTCCCTTCGCCTCTATGTATCCGGGTGACCGTCATTGGCGTTGATCTTTTTTTCCAGAAATTTTGGGTCTCTCATCTTTGGATTCGATTTATTTGTGTGTTTTTCTTTACGGCGCGAATGGTCCTTACGATTATCGGCGATGGATGCCTATCAACGGCTGGATGCTTCTCATACTGTTCTTCCTTTGGATTCTGGTTGTTAGACTTGAAATACCCTTGGGCTAGCTCTTTGCTTTCTTTCCCAAGACCTTGAATAGCGGATAGGCTTGGATGCTTGGATGCAGACGAATCAATGAATATATACTTGACATCAGCATCAGTTATCTACATTCCCCTAGTTCATATCACATTGTGCTCATTCACCTTGGTTTATATACATGATGTGATTCAAGGAGATATGAGGCCCCCTCCCCTTTACTCGTTCCAGATGACAGCGCTCAGACCATCTTCGTTCATCTCCGCTCCGGGCCTACCGACGACAAGGTTGGCGAGCAAGCCGCCGAGCCGTCCGGTAGCAGGGTCACGCTCAACGATGGCCACGTTGGAGGAGGTCTGACCGCCGATGGCGACCATGGTGCCGTCGCCGTTGATGTCGAAAGAGCGGGGAAGGAGGCAAAAGCACTCGTGATTTCGACAAAGGAAAACTCGCCAGTGGCGGGGTCAATCTCGTAGGTGGCGATGGAGTCCTCGTTTTGGCCGAAGCTCTTGTCGAAGCGATTAGAGGCGTAGATGAAGTTGTCGCGCACGCGGATCTCGGAGGCCTTGGACCCGGCGGGCGGGTTCTTGCCGGCGGGGAGGGTGGCGATAGTCTTGCCGCGGGTGAGGGTGAGGCACCCGCCGGCTGCGGGGTAGGCGACGGACCAGCTCGTGACGCTGTTGCCGAGCTCGTTGACGGTGTAGAGGACGTTGATGTCGCTGTCGCCGGCGGCGGTGTCGGAGGGGACCAGAAAGCGCCGTGGCGAGGGCCGTCACCCGGCGCGGTGGCGGCGGCGGGGCACTCGGTGAGGCGGCCGGAGTCGGCGTCGATGGAGAAGATGCGGACGACGTCGGCGCCGAGGTCGGCGGCGAGGAGGAAGCGGCCGCTGGGGTCGGTGAAGGTGGAGTGGATGTGGGGGCGTCTTGGCGGTCGGGCTTGGGGCCGGGGCCGGACATGGTGTACTTGAGGTGTTGGATGGGGGTGGGGGAGGAGGGGCTGATGGGGAGCTTGTAGTTGATGAGGGCGCCGCCGTTGCTAAAAGGGAGGGGAGTTAGATTATTGCTCGTTGTGGGGTTTAATAAAAAGAAAAAAATTGGGTGGACTCACTACTGGGCTGCGGCGATGAAGGCTTTGCCGTCGCTCCCGCCGTACAGGCAGCTGTGCAGCTCGCCTCCGGGGGTGTTGGTCTGGTCTCCTTTGTGAGGGCGCCGTCGGCGGTGACGGCGTAAGTGGTGAGGGTGGTGGTGCCGAACCAGGCCTCGTCGGTGACGTAGACCTTGCCGGCCTCGCGGTCGAGGGTCAGCCACGAGGGCATGCCGCCGCCGGTGGAAACTTGGCCGGAGATGGTGAGGGAAGAGGCGGCATCGTCGAGGGCGAGGGAGTAGAGGGTGCCTTCGAAGTGGGAGACGAGGAGGGAGGAGGCGGCGAGGGCGGAGGGGAGGAGGGGAGGAGGGAGAGGGCGCGGAGCGACATCTTGTGATAGATATCCTTTGCTTTCCCCTTTTAAATGGTCGGAGAGAGAGCTTTTGGCGTTGGTCTTAATTCCTCCGTGTGACGGGGCAATTTACCACAAGGCCTTAGGAGCAGAGCGCGGAGTGGAGGGAAAGAGTCGCGGTGACGATGATAGCGATTGTTCAGAATGTCTGGCGAACAAGAGGAAATAGAAGAAGAGGACAAAAAGAGGGAAAAGGGAAAGGGAGGAAACGATGGATGGATGAAAGCGAAGATCGCGATGACCTCGTGAAGGGGCGCTTCTTTTACTTCTTCTGTCCCTCTTTTTCTCGGGGCGCGCCTTTTACAGGATTTCTACTATGATGTACGCATCTCCACTCGCATTCAATCCCAAAGTTCCTAGATCGCGAGTCTTACCCCAGCCAATCTGGCACCTGAATGCCGGCATTTTCCCTTCCCCAGCCCTATACTTCATACAAGCTGCTGTACGTGGGAGGTGGGCGAATGGGGTCCCTACGTAGTAATAGATCGTTAAAGGGGAGCGGGGAGGTGGGCGAGCCAAAGTAATAAAAGGGCCGGGTTCGTGCGAGGGAATAATTCTTCCGTCCGCGTGCTTTTTCTTTTCCCTTCTTTGTTTGGGGTTGTCTCTGTCTGAATGAGCTTTTCGGATGGATCCAATGGATGGATGGATCCAGCTCACCATTGACGAACTGGCCTGACCCGATTGCTTATTAGTGGCATCTGCTTCGTGAGGAGGTCGTTGCTCTCATCGTTCTGTCGTCCTTCTCCTGCATCGTCAACATGGAAAGGCAGGTTCCCGAGGTCCTTTGTGTTTCTTTGAAGGTGGGTTCTTCCTTCATTTTGCGCGCGCCCTTTTCAGTCAAGAAGGCATCTATAGAAGCGGCAGTCTTAATCCGAGGCGCGGGCGCATTTTTCCCTGCAAAGCAACGAAGACAGAAGATTCGCCCCCATATATTAAAATAATGGGGACGGATGGGCAGCGAGAGGCTTCACTTATAGTTGAGGATTTTGAGGGCGTAATCGCTTCAATGTTCCCACTTCCCACTTCGCTTCAGCGCTTGAGGCGTGTCGTTGCGCGCGTGGAGACGACATGATTGCTGGAATCGCAATGCTTGATCGATCATTCCCCCTTTTCCCAAACCACTGCAGGGGAAAAATCTCCAAGGACAGGCTTAGCTGTGCAGATCTGCGATTTTTGTGTGCCTTCTTCGTCTGCCCTGGAATAAGTATTTGGATGATCCTGGTCATTTGGCAGAGGGTGGAGACACAAGGTTACCATCGCAGAGCGAGGTGAATGAGGCTAAATAGAGCGGGAGGGGATGCATGGGCATTATCCCGAGAATTAACGGCATCTGGCTGCCGGAAGTAGTCACATCTGAAGAGAGGGTCGCACTCTATGGTCGAAACAAGAGGACGCCACGTCTCGAAACACGTCTGGCCTGCCTGTTTGTCTTGTTCATGTCCATGTGTCGTTTGTGCAAGTAAAGCGGATGCTTTGCTTCTGTGATAATTGCCTGGCCGAAGGTCTTTCTTCTGTCTCTTGCCTCGCATAGCTTTGGTGACACCACATTATGCCAGAGCATAAGGCCAAACCCGGATGTATCAAAAAGGAATTAGGATCTCGGGAATAGAGGGAAAAGGGAATCGATGTCCCCATCTTGACGGAAACGCAAAGCTTGACTAACACCACCTGGTGGCCAAGGCGATCTTTGCGTGCTGCGTTGAATATGAGGACGTAAGTCTTGGGAAGACGGAAAGGATGAGGAAGCGCAGCGCCAAAATAAAGCTCATAATACTATCACATGAAGACAATAAGACACAATTTTTTGGCTGATATGTTCGTACTCTTCAATGAACAGGGAAGCATGACCGACCCGCGTGGCTTCGTTTTGAGGTGAGATGAGGTGAGCATGAAGTGGAGTGAGGATGGGCGAAGCAACATAATTTTATTTCGGAGGCCTTGTTTTCAACGAATCAAATCTTCCTTGGTCTAGTGGTCAGGATACCTGCTTGTCATCGAACAAGTCGCAGGTGGCCGGGGTTCGATTCCCCGAGGGAGAGTTCGTTTTTGCCTTTTTTGCATTCATCTATCTCTAACTTGCTGCCTCGACTCCTCTCGTCTTTCCTTTTTTTTTTTTTTTTTCTTTTCCAATCCCCCTTTTGCTTCCTTTTCCTTTCTTTTTCATTTCACTAGGATACCAAGAATTCGCCGTTCTCATTTTTTTCTCTACGTTAATCAAGACTTTCAGTACGGGGACAGCCCCGATCTCGGTGCTCTGCAGCACGCCGCATCCCAGCGTCTGTTGTTAATCAAGCTCCTGCTCGCGAAGTGCACCCGGCCCGGACTCCGACGGCGTGCAAGGAGCCAGGATTAGAGAGACATCGGATTTGCGTCGGAGCTGGGCCTCGAACCTCTATCAATCTCACCCTGCGACCTCCCCGCGGCCCACGGCGAAGAGATTGAGGTGCAGCCCAAAACTACGGCGGGGCTTCGTCAAATCTCGCGGCTTGCTCATCGCCAACGCTCCACCTGAAGGCGATGCTTGACGGGAACGCTTAAGCAATGCTCATATAGACAGAGATCAGTGGCAGCAAGCGAAGGTCGATCTCCGGAGATCGACGCGTTCGCCGGCGGGCACGCCCTCTTTCCCAGGAGGGGACCGAGGGTGAGAAGGGAGAAAACATACGCCGAGTGCCATGGACATCGGGCGGGCGGCCTGCTTTTGTTTTCCTCTCGCCGTGGCTCCGGGTGCTGGAATTGGCAGGAATAGAGATCAACTGGATGCAAAGATTGATGAATGAGCTTTGTATATCCCCTCCCGTGATACCGTCTATCGCTGGCCCCAAAAATCGCTCGCGCGCTCCCATGGGTCTTTTCGCCATCATTTCTTGTAAGTCTGCCTACCTGGAGTGATTCGGCTTACGAGAATCCCCCTCGCCCCCATGACCCTTCGCAACTTTTCTTCTCTCGTTCTTCGACTTGGAATTGTATGTTTATCCCATTCACGACTCAAGGTCCTACGCATGAGGGAGAAACCTGATCTTTTCTCCCATTCGTACACTCTCTTCTGCCGCAATCCCGCTTGCCCCCTTCCTCTCCCCAGTATCGGCTCGCTACCCTCCGGGACGTATCGCCACCACGAGGTCCCGATAGCAGAATCAGGCCATTTTTCTCCATGATTCCTCCCTTACCCCAAACCTCGCTTTCCCCCGTTCCATCACGATCCTTGGTTCCCTGTTATCCCCCATGGGGAAGTAAGGCCACGCAGTTACGGCGGCGCCCGCGGATTGATTCCTTTTGGCCCCCTTCCCCGCCCCCTTCTTGTCCCCGTGCCCTGCCCTACTTGCATTTGTGGGGAGAAGGAAGGGATCGGGCGGTTGGGCTCAGGTGGCGTGGGCAGGATTGGGATGGGGAAATAGTCTAAATGAACATCTGGCGATGGTGTCGCGAGGCTAGACTTATGACGTGAGGTTTTCCCGTTTCGTGGATCCCATGATGGAGTCCTACGCCTCCCAGCCTACATGTAATCTATGAGACGACCCTTGAGGCGAAGGGTGTGCGTTTTACATCTATGAATTAATGACTTTGTCTCGGGAAGAGAGAAGGGAAGCCAAGAGTTAATGGGGTGCTACGAATGCGTTTTGATTGAACTTGAATGCTTCGACCCAGACGGGAAAAAATAAAACGGAACTCGAAAAAGAAGAGGAGCAGAAGAAAGCTAAAGGAGGGCGCCTTGATGGTGACAGGCATCGTGCGACTTCGGAAGATTCATTAATCAAGCTACCTTATATCTCTTGGCCTAGATAGGTTTTCCTTCTTCCGCTCCTCCACTTCTCAATCTCCTCGAACAGAGGCAAGGCTCAGACTTGTGCAAAGTGCGGGAACAGAGGCAGACATCCGTCCATTGTTGGGGGAGATAATCGGGAACCAGGCGCTGGCGCTGGGCCCTTTACGTTCGGGTAAGCGACAAACCAGTCGGGACGGTTCGAGCTAGCTCCGATGAGCCGTCATTACAGATGTTTTTTCATCTCATGGCACAGGTTGATGACATTGGCATTGATGGTTAGAATAGCAGGCCAGACCCTCCTACTGCGCTGTTCAAATTGGGGGTTTCCTTTTATTCGAATTAACCCGATACGAGAAGCTGATCCGGGACGATCCTTTGTGCCTCGGTCAATCAAATTCTGTCTTCAGCCCTTTTGCGCGGACAGAAAGTTTGCCAGCGAGCCCAGGCTCCCTTTCTTCCCGTCCATCGCCCGTGTTCTTTGTGTGTGTGTCTATATACCCGTAGATCTATAATCTTTGCGCTTCTCAACCCGCCTCTCACAGGCCTCTTCCCAGCCTCCCATGATCGTTGCGATACTTTTATCTTCATCACCACATCATGCTCTACATGTATACACCCTAATTGATTGAGCTAACCCTTCAAAGCTTGGCATGGCACCCATCCTTGATATACAGCAGCCCAAACCTTCTAGAAATCTCGGTTCCGTACAACCTTTGTGCACCTCGCTCCCAAGATAGCCTCAATGGAGATTGTTTCCATTACCATGTACCCGCCTTACCCATGTCCCTTCATCAAGGACATATTATCTACTAGCACCTGCCACAAATATCGTACCACCAACCTGGATGCTGCCACACTGATCTGCTAACCTCCTCATTGTATTGTCTTCCTCCCCCTTGGGGTACAGCGAAGACGTAGGCTGTGAATAGCAAGCTCAATCGTAGTGAGTCTCTACTACTTGTACACTGGGGTGACCTCAATCAAGAGTCGGCCAGACACAAGGTATGCACATGGCTAGGCGAGAAGGGAATGGGGGATGCGTGGGCTAGGCCGCCCCCGTCTGTCGTATCCAAACAGCCTCGAGTCGTAGAGGGTAGAGTTTGGTGCGCACATGTAAGAACGTGCGTGAGTGTATGCGGATCGTGCTTCCCTCCTCCCACCTACTCTCCAGCCCGAACCGTTGAACCCAACGCCGACTTGCCCGATCTATGCCCGGGCCTACAGCTTGTGTAATTATATCGCGCTTACGTGCTGCGGGACGTTGATATAGGCTATATGTGTATTCTTCAGCAGAGGGATCAAAGACCAAGAAAAAAGGGGCAACTGGAAAGCTGTGCCTTGCAGAAACTCATTTACGCCAAGGCAAGCGGGCGATTTCTTTTCTTTTTCCCTCTCCCATACCGATATTTCATGGTGAAAGCATGAGCCCAAGAAGAAAAGAGAAAGGATACAAGAAAAAGAGGAAGAAAGGAAAAGGAAAATTGCATAAAGTGGTATACGTAGTTCACAGACAGGAAAAGGATGAGAATGGAATACGGTAGTCTCGAACGGTGGGTTCTTTGAAGGCTTGAAGTTGTGCCGATCGGAGAAGCGCATCTGCTCTTCCGCCAGTTTTCCAAGATCTTTTTTTCTCTCTTTCTGTATTTCTTTCTTTATTTTTGCGCGTCTTATTTCCCTTCATTACCTTGTTTCGTTTTCCCGGTGCTAATGGTCGGGTTTAATCTGTTCGATCGCCCACTCTAACCCATCAAGCCATCTCAATCAACCGCACGGCGACCTCCGCCACCTCCGTGAGGGGAAGGGCGGACCGGACGAGGGTGCGGACTTTAACCCCTTTTGCCCACGCGATGGGTCATGCCAACTCTGTCTGCCCGACGGGGCGTCAAGGCCTTTAGAAGAAAAGAAGACCAAAGAGAGATTGATACGTGGGGGAGGAAAAATGGAGCAAGAGGGGAAAAAGACCTTGGCTTGCATTTCTCAAGGCTTATCGGTCGTTTTTTTTTTTTTCGTTTTCTTGCCCCTTTCTCCTGGCCTTGCACTTTTTCTTTTCTCACCACACGGAATTCGGCTGAAAGTTCATCCAAATAGGACCCAATATGCAAATGGCCCAAAACATGGTCCAAGGCACCGTACTTTACACGCAAGGAAACCGGTCCCTCCCATCCGGAAGGCGTCCCCGTTTTCCAATTCCTCCATGGTATTGGCCCCTCCCTTGGCTGGCCGCGATATTTCCGCGCAAACAGGCGCGGCGCTCCGAGGAGCACCTCCCAAGCCAAGAAAGCCCGAACCTCAATGTATGCATAATCTCCTTGCCTCCCTTGTTATCTTTTTTTCTTCTTCTTTTTCTTCAAACCAGGCCCTGGGGGCGACACGGGACGCCGAGATGGTGGGGCGGGAAAGAGTGAGACCGGACGAGGTGGAAGCCAATGCGAACCAGTAAGACGGCGCTGAGAGGAGAGTATTGCTGGGACGTCAATGTGTCTCGTCTCTTTTCCTCTCTCTTCTTTATTGCTATATCCCGCGCAAATTGAGCCTCAGTTGATCGGCTACATCCTGCCGCCGAACGTGGTCCGCACATGTTTCGTTTTACTTGCTCGTCTTTCTTTTTCTTTTTCTTCTTCTTTTTTTTTTTTTCGACACTCTCTTAGAGAGTCCCGATCTAGCCCGCGGAAACGGCCAGACGGGGTTGACTCTTCCCCTCCCCCACCGCCCATTTGAGAGACTGGCCGAACAGTTTTTTTCCTTTGCCTATCAATCTTGTTCCTTCCGCTCTCTTCCTACCTTTTCCTATTTGTTTTACTCCATTTTTCATTTCCAATTCCCCTCTCCGTACCTGTCGTTCTCCAATCTCTCCCGTGTTAGTCCGGCCTTTCAACCCCGCACCCACCCAAAGTGTCAGCCGCCGTAGAGCTGCGAGTGCGGCAGGTTCATCGAGGAGCTTCCGCGGGGGCTAGGAGGATACTTTGCATATGATGATGCGGACACGGGTTGGAGAAAAGCTAATAAAAGAAAAAAAAAAAGAAAAGGGAAAAAGAGGAAACGAGAAAAGGGGAAAACACCTAGGTTAGAAATTGAAGGGAACCCAGGGCGGCTCGGCCTGTGGGGAATCGAAAGGGGGTGTTGAGGAGGGAGCGCCAACATGACCATGAAGGGGAAAAAACCAAACGGAGAACAAGAAGAAAACAAAAGAGATAATAAACGAACGTATATATCCGACCCAGGTACGCAATAAGTATCGCCAGACCTCCCGTACGATGCCCCTCGGATCGTGGAACGATCTTGGTCACGCTTGACACTTTTGTTCCTTTCTCTTCCTCCTCCACCACTTTCGTTTCCCTCTCTTTCGCTCGTTTCTTGTCGCGCCCGTGTGTTTTACGTGCTTGTGTTATAGCTTCTCCCTAGCTCGGGAAGCAATAGCTTGCAGCTTCCCCTCCGTGATATAGACGTACCCGGGAAACCCACCAAAAGAAGAGCCTCGATCAAGGCAGCCCCCGGACGATACCGAGAATATAAACAGCTGGTATCACCATCGACATTCCAGCCGATACTCCTTCTGTTCTCCGTTTCTTTGCGATATATCCAACATTCCCAGCCCCGGGGAAAGAATAAAGCATCATCTCTCCTTTAGTTGGACTTGGGAGACTTATACATATTTCTCCGACCCGCCATGTTTAAGCTCGCAACAGCCAGCTTGGCGCTCAGCGCTGGCGTCGCCCTCGCCAAGCCCCTGAACCGGCGCGCCGTCCTCGCCGACTGCCTCGCCGAGAAAGAGGTACCCGTCAGCGAGGTCGGCACCGAGGAGTACGCCATGGACTCGGCTCCCTTCAACGTCCGCACCCCTACGAGCCCATCGCCATCGCGGTGCCCCTCACTCAGGAGCACATCCAGGACGCCATCCGCTGCGGCGCCGAGACCGGCGTCAAGGTCACGCCCAAGTGCGGCGGCCACAGCTACGCCAACTTTGGCTTCGGCGGCGAGGACGGCCACCTCGTCCTCGAGCTCGACAGGATGAACGCCGTCAAGCTCGACAAGAAGACGGGTATCGCGAGCGTCCAGGGCGGTAGCAGGCTTGGCCACGTCGCCTACGAGCTGTACGAGCAAGGGAAGCGTGGCATCAGCCACGGAACGTGTCCAGGGTGAGTGAGCCCCAGCAATTTTCCTTCTTATACTTCCCTTTGTTTCTCCCTTTTTCTTTTTCTTTCCCCGGGTTTTGTAGGGTGTAAGTGAGAGAAAATCCCACGGTCTTTTACTAAACGCGCACGTCTCTCTTTGCAGTGTCGGATCCGGCGGCCACGTCCTCCACGGAGGCTACGGCGTCAGCTCTCACACCAAGGGCCTAGCTCTCGACTGGCTCGTCGAGGCCACCGTCGTCCTCGCCAACGCCACCGCCGTCACATGTTCCGAAACCGAGAACTCGGACCTCTTCTGGGCCGTCCGAGGCGCGGGCTCGTCGTACGGCGTCGTTTCTGAATTCAAGTTCAAGACCTTTGAGGTCCCCGAGGTCATCACTCGCTTCAACGCCATCCTCCGCTGGAACGCCAACAACTCGGTCGCCGGCCTGAGCGCCCTCCAGGAGTGGGCCGCCGAGGATATGCCTGCCGAGATCAACGCTCGCGTCTTCCTCAACCCCCAGATCCCCAACCTCGAGGGTCTCTACTACGGTACCAAGGAGGAGCTCACCGCTGTCCTCGATCCCCTGCTCGTCAAGGTCAATGGCATGCTGCAGGATGCCACCGAGACGGATTGGCCCGGCCAGCTGAGCCATTTCGGCGGCGGTCTCGACCTCGACCAGTCTCACCCTTACAAAAGGTATGGTTTGCCTCCTTTGCCTCCACATCCTCCTCCTTTCCGTTCGACCTGAGGGTGCCGAACGGAGGGGTAGTGGGAGACCATCGCGCTGACCCTTCTTTCTTCTTTCCCCTCATGTAGCAAGACAACATCTACTCTACTAGCATCTACACCGACGCCCTCACCGACTCTCAGCTCAACGCCCTCGTCGACTACTGGTACACCACCGCCAAGAAAGTCCGCCGCGGCTGGTACCACCACATCGACCTGCACGGCGGCAAGACCTCGGCCATTTCCGCCGTCGACGCCGACTCTACCTCGTACGTCCACCGCGACAAGCTCCTCATGCACAACTTCTACGACCACGTCGACGTGCGCTCCGCCTACCCCGAGGACGGCTTTGACCTCTTCAACGGCTTCATTGACGCGATCGTTGGCGACGGCGACAAGAACGACTACGGTGTCTACTTCAACTACCCTGACCCCAACCTCGACCAGGAGACCGCGCAGAAGAGGTACTGGGGCTCCGCCCTGCCTAGGCTCCAGGAGATTAAGGCCGCCGTGGACCCCGATGAGCTGTTCTACCTGCCTCAGAGCGTAAGACCCGCGAAGAGGGCCGTCGAGGAGGAGCCCGTCGAGGAAGAGCCTGTCAAGGAGGAGCCCGTTGAGGAGGAGCCTGCTGAGGAGGAGCCTGTTGAGGAGGAGCCTGTTGAGGAAGAGCCCGCCGAGGAAACACCCGTCGAGGAAGAACCTGTTGAGGAAGAACCTGTCGAAGAAGCGCCTGTCGAAGAGGTACCCGAGGAGGAGCCCGTCAAGGAAGAACCTGTCGAAGAGGAGCCCGTCGAGGAAGAGCCTGTCAAGGAGGAGCCCGTCGAGGAGGAGCCTGTTGAAGAGGAGCCTGCTGAGGAGGAGCCCGTCAAGGAGGAACCTATCGAGGAAGAACCCGTCGAGGAAGAGCCCGTCGAGGAGGAGCCTGTTGAGGAAGAGCCCGTCGCTGAGGAAGAGCCCGTCAAGGAGGAGCCTATCGAGGAAGAACCCGCCGAGGAACCGGTCGAGGAAGAGCCCGTTGAGGAAGAGCCTGTGGAGGAGATTCCCGAGGAGCCTGTCAAGGAGGAGCCCGTTGAAGAGGTTCCCGAGGAAGAGGAACCTGTAGAGGTGGAGCCCATCGAGGAAGAGCTCGAGGATTGCGAGGCGTAACACGTTGCGCACGTATAAAGCGGCCTTCTCTCATCGATGCCTATTTCCCATATTTCTCACCCCATGAACTATTTTCCCCTATAGAGGTCAGAACCTTGTACATCAATCCGCGTTTAGTCTGCATATATGCCATCCTGTTTATCACTTCATCTTTCTAATTTCTTTTCTTCTTCTTTCTTTTTCTTTCTCTTTTTCACTCCCTACCTTTCTCCCTCCGGAGTTTTTTATCAAGAAAATCTAATATATCCTGAAGATTTAAATCTAAACACACCGAATGTTGCATTTTTGGCGGACTGTTCACATACCTTCCTGCATGGACAACCTAAGAGAAGATAGACAGGTTCCAAAGAAACATGAAGCATCGAAAGTCGACATACTATCAAGTCTAATCTGAGAGCCATCAATCTTTTTATGACAGAAAGAGGAGAATAGCTAGAAAAAGAAAGCAATACTTCAGTGGTCGAAATCTCACAAAACAACTGGTGGGTGAGCCTGTCAAGTCGCTGTCGACTGGCTTTTTTGTAGATGAGATGAGATGAAATGTTTGGCGTGTTTCAAAAAATTCCTCATCTATTTTGCTTTGTTTCATAATCCCCGGAACAATCAGATGAGTACTCGGCTATTCTCACGATCACTGAGAAGGTAACAGGAAGGAGGACGCGACGCGTGGTTCTTTGGTCTTGAGAAGCGGGCTTCGAGGGGCCACCTTTTGTCTCTGATGGGCCAAGCATTTGGTCAACTTGAAAGATGGTTGGGGTGCACGATAGCGAAATTCATTGTAGCCCCGGATATGCCCATTCTCGTCAGATCTCTGAGACCCCCAAGCGTCCATTCAATCAACGTGAGGTCTGTTGTCTGATCTGATACAACCCCAATCTCGCCTGGCTTATGGCCAGCATCAGTCTTCCAGGAAGGCACTCGCTCACTCAGCGCCTGCCCGAATTGGATGAGGTGCGGTCAGGTCGGCCTGGTCACGAACTAAGCCTAGTCAGCATCCACAGGCTTCGGACAGTCAGCCACGCTCCTTTCTCAGAGAAAATGGACAAATGATGCCTCGTACAGGTCAAAAATCCACAAATAGCGACTCTCAGCCCCCTGACCTCGCATCAATGGGCAGGAGGTAGGGGGCATTGAGATCTCCCACATCCAAAGTCTCAGGACATCGATACGGGGTAGTGAACAATCTTATTGGAAATTGGAAATGTCTCAATCCGGGGGCGCTTGGCGGCTGTATATGCTGTACGATCTCTATCGGTTCCATTACCTAGACTTGGATCAAAAAGAATCGAAATAGCAGATCCTCAGGATGTTTTCCGTTGCACAATGCAGGTAGTCGCGACAGAAGCACAAACGAGCGCGAGCGTCAGCGCCATGAAGGACGTCTAGGTGGTGCTCGCTGGCAATGACGATCCACAATGCAGGCGGTGTCCGAGCCTCCCGAGGGGAAATGTGGTGGGCCTGCCAAACGCGGATTTTTTTCTCCTTCTTTTTATTGACTCTCACGAAGCCAGCAAATGCCTCGCTCACGGTGCCTGCCCGGCACTCGCCTGTCACTGCTTCGCGATTACCAAGCTAGGTCACCGGTGGAGCAAGAGACACAGTGACGAATTTCACTGTCATATCGTGTTTTGGGCACATCGGACTTCCCACCCCTGCAAGCTGCGGGGCGCTGACAAGGGAGCCCATTCGCTTCCAGAAGCACCAAGCATTGACTCCTGCGCGCTGGGACGGCGCGGCAGGTGGGACCGTCGATGGGCTCCACTAGGGCAATGACAATGAGGTAACGCTCCGGAGGGAGATTCCAAGACACCCGCTGGTCCTTCCTAGGGCGAGAGCAAGATTGTCAAACGCCAGAAGCCCCAGCGCCTGCCCACGAGAAGGCGTGTTCTTCATCCGAAGACGCGGGATTTTGTATTCAATGGCCTGCTCCCCTCTCCTCTCGTTCAACGTTAGCCCTATTGCCGAATGACGGTTAACTTCCTAGCCCAGCCTCGAACAACGAACGATCAATCCGATCCATGTCAACCGGAGGCAAGGCACCAGTCAACGTGTCTCGGTGGGACCAGACACTGGGTGGTCCATTAGTGTTTCTGCAATCGCCCAATGCTCGTGAGGATGGCAAGAGATCAATGGCCAGCCAAGACAACCAGGTTCCTCGCCCACCTTTACAACCAACACCGCCGTTAGCTGACAGTCACCTATTTCCGAACCGTCCGAACTGCAATTGTTGATGGATCCAATTGATCCCACCCTCTTCCTCTCTTTATTGATCCCACATTTCCCCCACCATTTGCCCATCTCAGTAATAACATCGAATCCCTGAACCCGGTCCAGCCGAGCCCGCGCGCCAGCCTGCGTCCCTTCCCAGAAAAATCGATTGCCCCAGTCCCCCTGGCTATCTTCACCCAACGTCGCAAGTCAAGCAGAATAGAGTTTGGCTTGGCAGAATCAAGCAGAAAACCTGCTCAGCTCCAAAATATAACTGTTCTCCGCCCTATCCAACCTTTGCGCTTACGAAAGCTTCTTTGGTGCGACGTAGCACTTTTCTTCCTCTTTTCTATTGGAGGGAGGGGGAAAGATCAAGCTCACGCCGCACGTCTGTTGAACATATTCCGATCCCTCCGAGATACGCTTCGATTTTTCCTCGGGACACCACTACCCTCTTCATCTCACAGTCGCCTTACCTCTCACTGGCTTCTAGATCTTGCTCGAGCCATACTTGAATCTTGAAAAAGCAGAGAAAGGGAACTCTAAAGCGAGAACGACAAGGACCATGTCGATTTTACGGCGGCCAGCTGGGCTGTTCGCGGCCGTCGCGCTCTTGGCCGTGGCCGCCGCGCACGGAAACCATGGCGGCGAGAATATTGAGGAAGGAGAGACAGTCTCCTCAGATCCCATTGTATGCGACGAGACGTCAATTCATTTTGGCCGTTCCCCGACTAACGCTTTATTTTGCTCTTTTAGGATGCGATATTATGGATTCACATTTTTCTCCAAATGTTTGCTTGGGGAATCCTCTTCCCCGTCGGAATGGTTTTTGGTGTAAGTTTTGTCTTCTCTTAGCTTTCAGTGTTTATGTCCTCTCAACAACCGCCATGGGTGATGACTCCGACTCACCCACATCTCAAAATAGCTCACCAAGAGCCGCTGGCACGTCCCTACGCAAATCCTCGCCACTTCCCTCACGATACTAGGCTACTTTCTCGGCCACATGCATCGTGGTCGCCAATTCAATCCCAAGAATGTGCACGCTGCCTTCGCGAACCCGCTCTTCTTCATGCTTGCAGCCCAAGCTAGCATGGGCATCTACCTTAAGCTTCACCTGGAGAGGGGTATCAACGGCCGCATCCGCCGACTCGTCCAGCCCGCCCACAGTATCCTCGGCAAGGCGTTCCCCGTCATTGCCTGGGTACAGATGATCTTTGGCGGCATCACCACACTCGGTTTCTGCCAGGGCGACCACACTGGCCAGTGTGCAGCTCACTTCATCATGGGTGGTGCCTTCATCGCCTACGGCATCGTGCTGACCATCCTCCTTGTCGCCGGGCAATTGTGGATTCGCCGCTCGGGACGCTCACAAGAGTTTTACGACAACTGTGTCATTGCCGCCTGGGGTTGCGTAAATACTTTTACGGAGCACAGATGGGGAACGGAATGGGTGAAGAACGATTGGCAGCACACCACGATGGGCATCGTTTGGTGGTGCGCTGGCCTCGTGGGCATCTGGCTTAGTCGTGATCGAGACGGAAACCCGAAGCGTAACTTCATCCCAGGCTTCGTCCTCATCATCACCGGCTGGGCCATGTCGGCGCACCCTCAAGAAATGCACTCGAGCGCCGCCGTTCATTCCATTTTTGGATACACGCTTATGGCCGCGGGGTTAACTCGCATCATCGAGATCTCCTTTATCCTTAAAGATAAAATGGGTGTCTCCGAAGACGGAAGGCAGGCTAGCAGCTTCCAGTATATTCCCGTGTTTGTGAGTAACTATGCCCGGCTCCTACTCCCAGTTCACCTTTGTTGAATGCAGCTAACCAGCTGGGCGTCTCAAGCTCCTTTACGCTTCAGGGTTCCTCTTTATGGGCGCTACCGAAGAGCAGATGGCCCTGGTGGAGTCCTCCAACATGGATCATGTTGCCTACATCCTCATCTTATTCTCCATGGCCGCACTTGTCTTTCTATTCGCCAATATCTGCATCTATCTATGGGATCGCGGTATGTCAGCCCGGGCTGCGGACGGCACAAAATTATATTCAAATGGCCATGCGAACGGCCATGCGAACGGCCATGCCAACGGCCATGCGAACGGCCATGCCAACGGCCACACTCTTTGCCCAACGGTCGGGCGCTTGAAGATCAGCACATCGACGATGCCCAGGAGTTCGAACTCGATGGACTTGTTAGCGACGAAGAGGATGATAGCGCTCAACTTTTGAAGGAGGAAACGGTTGATCGGGCGGTTCGCGAGAACGGCAGCAGCCATAATCCCAGGTGATTGGCTTGACAAATCTCGACACAATTCAGTTTTCCATTTGGGTCCAGGGGCGACTTTGGGGCTTCTAACGGATACATCTATTCATGGATTTTTTTAATCTACACTTTCTTAAGGCGGAAGTCTAACCTTTATGAAGGTTGGGGGTTTGCGGAGTTTGTACAAAAATAATCAGGCGAAAGGGGCTGTGGTATTGGGTGCATATCTTGGGATCTTAGAACATGGGCGTTGGCTGGCGTTGATCAGGGGCGAATGGCTTGGGGGACGATGGTCAGAAAGCCCTACCATCCATTCTTCTTCACCTGAATCCTGCATTTTTGATAAATTTTTTTGCTTGAATTAATATGTTTCAAATTCAAAATAATTTAGAAGAAGGGTTCCTTTACTCCATGTCCCGTGCATATTTGAACTTTGGCTGCTGCTCTAACGTGTGTCGCGACATAGCGCGAAAGAAGGTCCAGATGGAGAGGCAAAAACTTTGACAGTTCCCCGCAAGCGCGGAAAGCAAAATGATGCCCCACCAAAAGTCCTTATCTCTTATCAGCTGCCCCTCGAACTTTTTTTTTTCTTGTCCCTTTGAAATTTTGTGTCCACCGCCTTTGGAGCCTCAACGTCAAAATCCTCCCTCCAGAACCAACGACGAATTCCGCTACAGATCTTTATTTTCACAGATCTACCTAGAACCGGGCGACAATTGAAAGAAATCGAAAGTCAATTAAGCAACTCCGAACCCTCCTACAAAAAGAAACACCGTCGAACCAACCTTTTCATCCCCCCTCCTTCATCCTTCCTCCTCCGGCCCCAAGACGAAAGGACAGAACGGGCGACGGAACTCGGCAAAATGGTCAACGTCGCGACACCAAACACAAAATCCAAGCTCATCAAGGGCAAGCGGGCGGCGAAGCTGCGCAGAGACTCTCAGAGGCGGGCGCAAACAGCCAAGCTCGGCGGGGACAAGGACGCCAAGGCGGACACGACGCGCGGGGCGAGGACGGGTCTGCTGCCGACGAGCGGGCCGCGGGCGCCGATGAGCTCGAAGAAGAGGCGGAAGCTGGAGAGGCAGATGGGGTATGCGATGAAGAGGAAGATGGAGGCGGAGGGGAGGTGGAGATGAAGGGTGAGTAACCGTGATTTCTTTTTCTTCTTCTTTTTCTTCTCTCTGTTGGTTTTCTGGAGGAGGGGTTGTAATGGGGAGATATGCTGGGTTATGTCCTGGAGTGCTAACTTTGGTTGATTGATTAGATGCGGAAGGTGGTGAGTCTGGCAAGGCGGCGAAAGAGGGAGAGATGGAGGTTGAGGGTACGATTGAGTAAAGGGGCCGGGAGGGCGACGGGGAGACGGGGAGGTGGGCCGGTAGGGAGGCCTCGAGGGATACCCAGGGCAGGTTTTGGGGTGGAGGGCTGGGGAATTCATGATTGTATATGGTAAGTGATGGACTGCGAGTTCCGCTTGCGGGTAGTAGCGGCGGAGTCTAGAGCTGGCAGAGCTAACCTTGGGCGGCAGTATACCTAGAAAGCAAGACAGAAAGCACATTCTTGAGGTAGAGGATCGGGTGCCCTCGGTAACGACTTACGAAAAAGCTATTACAATCCAACGTAAACTTTTCTCACAACTATCTAACCATATGACAAGGACTGAGATGACGAGAGGCTTTGGAAAGAGGACATAGCTTCTCTCTTTCCGCCCTTCCCACCTTCCCATGGCCCGCTCACGGACTTTCCTCGTAGTGTTCGCCGAGCCAGTACCATTGCTGTCCATGCATTGCCTGCCTGACCTGATGGTGCATGCGGGTGCGCCTCCTGTCCCTGGTTTGCTGTGGCCTCTTCCTCACGCCGCGCTGCGGCTCCGTCGTGGGAAAGGCTCGGCGGGAGGGTTGTACGATATGTGCCTGCACCATATTGTCTTCGTCGCAGGGAGTTCGCCATACGAGCTCTCAGAACTACTCCCTTCGGCAAGACTACTGCCAGGACCGGCACTTGCCCTGCTATTTTCCCACGGACCACCGGCGCCGACTTCTTCCTCCTCTACTTCCACTTCCTTCCCCTTTTCTCCTTTCTTCTCCTCTTCGTCGTCTTCTTCGTCGTCTTCCCACCCTTCTGCAGTTCCGTCGCTCGTGGCCTCTTCTTCCTCTCCACCTCGAGTCTCCTCTTTCTTACCTTGTTGCATTTCCTCGGCATGGGACTGGCGCTCCTTTTCCGCGTGGCCTTCAAATCTTCGCCAGGCGGCAGCTATATCCTGGGGATCGATGGCGCCTATGGAACAAACCATGAGGGCCTTCCAGTCGGCGAAGGCGGCGGGGCCGAGGATCGGGCTGCGCAGGGTCTCGACGGATATATCGGGGAGGAGGTGACGTAACGGGCGAAACCGTGGTTTAGGGGCGATGTGACGGCAAAGGAGACGAAATTCCCAAAGGTGAATTCCCAGGTGGATGGGGGAGCGGACCTGCGAGGGCTGGGTGAGTCGGATGACATGTTTGCGGGTCGGGCCGTCTCTTAGGCTCCGGGCTCGTTGTTTCGGTTTGGTTTCTGTCTTGTAGGTTGATGCGTGCAGGTTGCAGTCGTTGGTTATTGGGATTGGTTGCGGTGAGGAGACACAGTTGCTTCAATATGAGATCGCTTGTCGGGTATGAGTTTGTTTAAATACGCGTTCAAAGTCATTCCGGCTGACTTGGATCACTGAACTATCTCGGGGTGTTTCTCATACGTATCGCCTCGTAGGCAGTGAAAGGTCGTTTCGAATCCTCTTTGGGCCGCGGTTTGCCAAGGGTACCACTCCACGGAGTCCAGAGAGGCCATGTTTTCCGGGACCGTGGGCATCTGGTGGCTTCTGTGGCTTTCAGGAAGAAAGGAGCGAGAAAGGAGAGTGAGTTTCAGGAATATTCTTGTGCCTAGGAGCTCAACTCACCAGGATACCGAGGCAGTCAGTCAAAGTACCTGTAGATCCTGAAGCTTCTTGACGCAGGACAATGAATCGGCGGTAGGCTCGAGGAGTATGTCATTTCTGCGGATGAGCACAGCACCTAGACAAATCACGATTGATTCTTTGTTCTCACCAAATTCAACAGCTCCCTCTATTCTTCCTTTCCCCGAAATATCTATCATCGCAACGCCACATCAAAAGAGAATCTCCAGTCATACCGGATCAGCTCGCGCGCAGGGACGTCACAATCCCAAATGATCTAGCCAACCTCAAATCCAATCCCCTTATATATATCACAACAAGTGATAGATCGACCCCAAGAACCAACACCTCTTCTTCAGTCGTTGTCGCCTAAACCCCTCAAACCATGTCCGTGACTTCTTCGCCCTTCTCTTCCTCAACAACGGGCTTCAAAGCCCCACGGCGTTCCCAAAACCACACACCCCTTCCCATCGCACTCGACACCACAGTCGGCAGCGTCTTCTCCATCAGTACACCTCCGCGTCGAGCCTGGCTGGGTTCCGTCTTCGTACACCTCGTGGAGCCTCGAGAGACTACCGATTTCCGGCGCGCCCAGGCGGCCGTCGTCGGCCAGCTTGCACCCAAAGATCTCCATACGGAAGCGGAGGTCGCCCAGCTGCCTTTCCCAGGCCTGGGGCGCGTCGCCGTTCTCGGTCCTAGTCTGGTCGAAACGCGAAGCGTAGAGGTGCTCGGCGATGCGAGGCCACTCTCGGGCGAGGGAGCCGGCAAAGGCGGGGCTCCAGGGGTCCGCGCCGGCTTCGAGGCTGGCGACGTACTTGTCGATGAAGTCGCCTACCAGGGGCTCGATGACTTGGGAGCTGAGATAGGTGGTGAAGAAGCGCTTCCAGAGGAGGTAGGCGGGCTCGGAGGCGGAGGTGGTGCGGGGGTCGAAGTTGATGGGCTTGGCCCATTCGGGGATCGAATAGGTTTTAGCAAGGCTAACTGGCTGGACGGTGGGGTTCTCCATCGTGAAGGAAGCGGTAAACTTGTGTGAGTAGGAACAAAAGTGTGAGAAAAGTGAGAGAAGTCGTTTTTTGAGGTGAGCGTGGTGGTTATTTGGTTGGAGTTGGTTTCTCAATCTCTCTCTCTAGGATTTATATACACACGACTATATACGCGGTATCAGTGGATGAGCCGACCCAGGAAGAAATATTCTCATTCCTGCAATCCCTCTGGACGACGCTGCGTTCAGACTAGACTTTTCCTTTGGCTTTCGAGCACCAGCTTCTCGAGAGTTTTGGCACTCATTCCAGACAAAGAAAGGTCAAGCCACAGAGCACACATTCCCCGGGTAGTAGCCGAGGCAGCAGCACGTCAGTCACAGACACCGGGCCACAAATGGCGAATGGATCAATTGGTATGAGTGGAATGTATGGATACGGTGGAATGGGTGAAGATATTGATATGTACTAACCCCGGCCAACAGCCGCAACGAGTCGATCCTAAGATAAAAACATAGAAAGGGAAAAAGATGTGGTATGTAGCAACAACACTCGCTTTTCAAATATGTAGAAAGAGAAGAGAATAAAGAAGATGAAAAAGGAACATAAAAAACAAAAAAGATGCAAACAGACACCCGTGGTATCAAATCCCCCTCTCCCCCATTTCAGACGGCATCAAAGGACCGCCTTTCACGTTGCAACGGCGATTAGGCAGCGCCGGCTCCGCTCTCGCAGTAAGAGAGCTCCCTGGCTGCCGCCACCTGCGGAAGCATCGAAGATATCCATTGGAGTTGCTCACAACCGCGGCTACCAAAGGGTTTTCTGTCAGCTTCCGTTCATTCCAGTTTTCTTTTTTCCTTCTCCCGTTCTTTTCGAGGATTGTAATGTCCATGGCATGCAATTTTTCCACGGCAAGCGTGAGGCTGGGGCTGTTAGAGAGATAGGATGAAGGCTTACAGAGATCAAAGGTGGCAGAGGGAGCATCGAGGTTCCTGCCGTCGGGGCAGTGCTCGCAGGTGAGGATAGTTCCATCAGTAACGCTGCAGCCCTGGCAGCCAGTGCGGGAGAACTCGCCGTTCCTAGCATCGACGAAAGCGGCGCTGCAGTCACGAAAGAGAATCTTTTGTTAGCCAGAATTCCTGACGAGTCGTGGCTTATAGAAACCTGGTAGAATGGACATACCCAGTGCCAGAGGCCACGTCGTTGGCGTAGACAATGCCGCCGTTGACGTTGAGAAGGCAGGCAGTGAGGTCGATCTCGGAGCACACCTCGGAACCGTCACTCGCCGTGCAGATGGCGCTGAGGTATTGGTCGGATCCCTTGATCTCCCGGCAGGAGGTCTGGAAGTTTTGCGCCAGGGCGGCGGGGGCGGCGGAGAGGGCGAGGGCGAGGGCGAGGAACTTCATTGTGGCTGGAGTGGTGTTCTGGAAAGGAAGCGAGGAGAATGATATTTAGAAAGGAGGAGGTGGGATATTGTGGGTGGATGTGGTGTTTCCTTGTGTTCGGTTTGAGATGAGTGTGGAGGTTGGATGTAAACCTTTTTTCGAGATAGACATCGTGGCTCCCTTATATAGATACAAACATCTTAGTGACGGAGTAGAATTATCGACGAAAGTAGTTGCTGTCTACATCTACTTACTGCGGGAATAAGCGGCGCAGGAACCACATCCTCCGAATCTCCCTGCCGTCGACAACCGCCGTCTCCACGATCACCATCATCTTCGCCCAACACAGCGCAGCGTTACAACCCGTCTCGACTAAGAATAAAAACAAACTTATTGGCATCCAATATCGGCGTGGGAAGTTCATCTGATCGATATCACTTTATAAAAAGACCGTCTAGGAAAATAGAACATCAATCTCTTCTCAAACCCCTTGAAGGGTCCCATTTCCCCTCCTCTTCTGGAAAGGGGCAAGAGTGGTTGTCAGTCTCCCTTCTCCTCGCCCCTGGCCTGGGTAGGCTCTCGAAACAAACAAACCCAAGGCTACAAGTAATACCGAACCTGCCATAGGTATTGGCTTCGAGCCTTTACCAGAATTAGAAACGCCTGCCGCTCGTCGCCGTGTTGGCTTTCCGAGCACGGCAGCCTCGCCACTGCCGAGATGGGCTTGTCACCGTTTATCGATCACCTGCTTAGCTCGATTGTGATGCGAACCAAATTCTCTATTCATAAAGGATTGTTTAGATTCGTCTATAATAGCGTTAGATATAAGGGGAAAGAGAGATGGGGATGAGAAAACGCCGTGATGTGATTCTTCGCTCCCTCCGTAAATCGCCACTCGCAGTCTCATGAGCGGGCTCATCGTGTGGCCGTCCTAGATCACCAGAGAAAGAACAGCTTATATGTCCATCTCGCTACCAGTTTATCGAGATGCGGAGGTTAGCTCCTGCATTTCCCGCCCCGCAAACCGGGATGGGGCTCTTGCAAATGGGGTTCGGGCACCCATCTAAAAAGTCCGGGTCGCTGGATATATTGCACTATATCCGCTTAATCAATTCGCTCCTATTTTGGGATGCGCCCCAGCTACGATGTCGACCCAGGACATATTGACACCTTTGCACTCTTTTCGATCGTTCTCTTCCCCTCTTGATTGAGCTCCTTCGCTTCTTCTTTTTTTCTACTTTCATACTTGCCCCTCCCCCTTTACATTTTCCGTCACTCGTGCTTGTGCTCTCTTATTAAAATATTGGCTTGGCTTACCCGTGACCTTATCATCAACAATCCTCAAGCTGGACAATCGAATCCTAGAGGATCAAAGAGATAGATTGGAGAAGACTTGACGCTTTATTTGTCTACTCACTCACAACGCACTTATCCCCCTTTTACTGTTTTCATTTTAATCAATACAGCTCTAGGTTGTGGCTTCAAAGCTGAACCTGAGAGAGAAGGGCATATCGTCGTAAATGGGACCTCGTCTTCTTCTGACGTCGCTTGGAAGCTCCAGCGTTCCGGATGGATTAACATCCCCAGGCGTTGGCCATAAAGGGAGGGCGGAAGAGCGTGGATGCAAATATCCTCCAACCATTCATCATGAATTGACTGGTTTTCTTGTCTGAAACCATATCGTCTCGTCCCCCGTGGTTACGTGGCACCCTCTGGATCCGCTGCTCTGGTTATTAGAGGAATTGAGAGGCATAACTTGAACCCTTGAATGCCAATAATAGCGACACGGGTCACTTCGATGCCCCCTTTCGCTCATTTAACTTCTTCTAATTTTGGAGATGGCAATGGAAATAAAGAGGTTCAAGTCAAAATGACCAAGGGAAAGGGCGCACTGAACATGGACGCGTTCGGGGTTATGTTTTCTTCGGAAGTCGAGTCCGAAAAGTGTGAGGTGAGGCCATAGACGAACGGTCTTATTCTCGCGATGACATTGAAAAGAAGGTCCGTGTCTATATGTTGAGGATAAGTGGATGTGCCCATTGTAACACAACTGACGGATATCCTTTCCTTGATCGTCAGCACGAAAAGCTGCCACGTCGTTTCCACAAAGTGTAAATGCAACCCGAGCAGTTGGCGTAGCGTCGTTCGGGATGCTTGCCATCGTCTAATCCTTGGCTAGTTGCCGCCGAAGTGAAAGGTTAGATAGCCTCATTATAAAGAGTACGTGCAATGAAGACGCATAGACACGATTTCGGTTGCGCTTTTAATATCAAAGCTTAGATGCGGACCTGCAGATCTTCGGGAGGCTGTCCCGGCCGCTGCTACGGGTCCTCGCGAGCAATCCCGAAATTTGCCTGCTCTCGGTTCAATCCAAGAGGGGAGGGCAAACGCCCTTCCAGCGAGTCATCTTCTTCAACACCCAACCTTCTTTCCACGGCGCACTAACGGGGTGGAACTCCCCGTACCGAGACAAGCCAAACCTCAGAAAGTAGGAAATGTGGTATCCTTCTCGCTTCTGCGTCTGTCAATCTCTAGTCCCATTCCTAAGTTCTGCGGCTCTTCCCAAGTCTGAAAGGGTCCGGCTATTTTCATCAGACAACCATGGCGGCCTGGGATATCAACGATCTCTTCTGGGCCATGGCGATCACTCCAACTATCTGGACTCCATGACGGAATGTGCGTATTTTTAGTTGTCAGAGGCCTTCTCCTGCGTCACATAAATAATCGGTCCAACCCATCTATAGTCTTAGTTCCCCTCCGGCAAAAGCTCGTTGCGACTTTGCACGATGCGGAAAACAGCAGGTGCTACCCTATGCTGAGACGTTAATACTGATGACCCATGGAATCCGAGATTTTGGCCGCCACGATTAGAATGGGGATCCCCTTTAATATGACGGCGGCACTGATAAGACCTTCGAGAAAAGTCGGCGACAGTCGTTCAAGCAACGGTTTGGGGGCGGTTGAAAGGAACAAAAGACGCGGCACCTCAAAACTGGGTTTGGTATCTTGAGATTGTGGGGAAGGAGCTGCTTGCAGGACGACCCCAGGTCTCGACCAGCTGCCATGAGCAACGATCGCCCTCGTCGTTGGCCTCTGCAGTCCTGGTCACGTCCACATGGTAATGAGCAAGACACCCTTACCAAATCCAACGTGGCCTTCTCTTTCCAAAGATGACGGTGTTTTCGGGGACCGCCGCCCGTCTGAAAGGATCATTCTTCGTTTCAAAGGGCTGGGTCAGCCCATCCCAAACACATGAAGGAAGCTAACTCCCGTGCTCATGGGCGTCTTCAAAAGAATGAGAGCTAGGAAGGGCTTAGTGTTCGCATTATCTCGCAGCACCCTCTTCTTTCGTGAAGAGTATAGCCAAAGAATACAACACGAGGCGAGCACTCGACAAGCCGACACCTCAAGGGAACGAAATCTTCAGTCGTGACCTATCTCAGCCTCAATTACCACATAGGGCGGCAAGACTGGCAGCTCTGTGAGTGGGGAGCAATTCGGCCATCTCGCCCACCACTCACTAGCAGTGCGCCGTTCGTCGCGAAGACGGAGGCGGATAGGCATATTCCGTCGGTCTCTCTTCTCGCTTCATTCGTCTAGCCGCCATATTGGACTTGAAAAGGACTGGGCACCCTCCGGTCGTTTAGTGGTTCGTGGCATGCGGCCTTTCTTCCTGGACTATTCGGGAAGAATCGCAGTCGCGGCTAAGGAGCGCTTGATGTCATCTGTTTCAGATTCTTTCTGGTTGGGCTCGAGGGAAGCTATGCCCTCGCCTCGTGGTAGGAAAAGGACGGTACTCTAGCAACATTTTGTTGAAGTGATGTTACTGATGCAGACGCCAAAGCGATGTCTAACTGCAGAGAAAAAAACTCTATTTTCAAGTTGAAAGAAGGGACGTGGGTGGTCTTGGAGCCCCAAGTCTTTTGGGCTTGGAGCGAGGACTAGAGCCGGCCATCGCAGGCGAGGGGTTGTCAAAAGCACTGCCGTGGTGAGGTGAACAGAGGTGCTCTGCGAAGCCCTCCTCATCGTCGTCAGCGACATTCGTTCCTCGATGTCATCTGGCGGAGACGTTTATCGTAGTCACTACAGTTCTGAGGGCAGAAACAGAAAGACTAGTCGTAGAGCCAAAAGAAAAGACAGGGCACGAAGGGTAAGAAACAGGAGGTTAAGGAGGAGGCGCCTCGCCCTATCCCACAAAGCGCACCATTCGCTCCTTCTTCGCCCTTGAGAGCTGACCTTGAACGGTTGATTCACAAGCCAAAAGTTCAAAGGCGTGGCGCGAACTCAAGCCGAGGGAAGCTGTCCATGTAGAGGAAATCATGGGCGAAAAGATGCTCCGTAAAGAGGTTTAGCTTACTCAAGGTTGGCCCCGATCCGGACATGCGGACGCTAAACAACCAACTCTTTCAGGCATGAGAACGAGGAATTCGCTTCATCGCGGATGCATGTTTTCCGTATTCGACGTGGTGCAGTCTAGTCTATCCTCATCAGCGAACGAGTGCTACTAGTTGGACTAGTCTTTGGCGTCCTCTGGCGTCCTCTGGCGTCCTCTGGCGTCCTCTGGCGCCCCTCCTCACCACATCTTCCCCACACCACTTGCGCCGCGCTAAGCCGCACGCCCTCGCCGAGATCCCCCTCCCCGTGCCTTGCACAAACGACCCAGCTCTGCGCCTGTTTTTGTCAAAGTGATGGGGATCGACACCTTGATTTCAGCCAAAGGTCCTCCAACCCCATGACGTAGACGTCAGGGGAAGGGGAAGGGCGCCCGCCGCGCTGCTCTGTTTGAGTGAGGCGGAGGCAGGGCCAGATGCAACACCCTCCAGATCGAGGGTGGCGGAATTGAGGATCTACAGTTGCTGCCGTGATGGGTCCTTGAGGTTTTAGTCGCAAAGCCAAGTTCAGCTCATCTTGTGATGCCGAGGGAAAAAAAGTCCATAGGAAGAGAAGAGCCAGGCAAAGAAGCATATGGGGAACGGAAGCACACGCTCTTCCTCCTATTTCCTCTGCCACCAGTCCGGGGA